CGTTATCCTCTTTCATCCCGAGCATTTTCCAGCTATTTTACGCATCGGCTGCACCCCTTTGAAGCGTCTCTTTGGATCAATCGGTAGTGTTTCGTCTGCATGTCTGAACGCCTCGACTTTCCGCTCCACTGAATATATATTGAATAATATATCAAAACCCAAAGGTCGAGAATACTGGACACCGGGATTAAAAGGATAATATATTAATCGACTCGTAAAGTATTAATTGATACACAGCGAACGCACAATGGATTTTCTCGTAATTACAAGACCAGCATGACGTCATGACGTAATATTCTCTGGTAATTACGGAGCTGTCTCTTTTGACAACGGCGCCGAAAAATGTGAAAATCCGCGAACTTTCCAACCTCCCCACGTACAGGGCCAGTGTTTTGTTCACTTATTTTTTTCTTCTTTTGTCATCTTTCAGAGACTCTGGAAAAGTAATAACTTTACCAAAATTAGATACATAAAATGAAAGTGAAATTTAGGAGTGCCAGGTCTCACTCTCATCTGGCACCACTACTGTTCTAATTTTTGGATCCACATTTGAGCTATGAAACAAGCTTGCTATAAATTTTCAGAATATGATTGCTGTTTGCTATGTATGGATTTATCCTGAATGTTGCAAAAGGAGCTGTAGCTGTCCTGTGGAGTATGTGATATGCATAGGACAAATATATGTTGTCTCCAAATTGCATTTTCTTACTAAATGTAAATACAAATCAGCTGTGTTCTTCTCAACATTATCCAGAAAGAACATTATCCAGAAGAAAAAATCATTTCTGTCTCAATTGTTTTGTATCTCCAGAGTTTTCAAAGCTTGTGAAGGTTGATAGTATTTTAGTAGGTCATCAGATGCAATGATTTGCTACAAGACTAGTGTGAGGGCCAGAAACAATGCCAGAGTTGAAGAACAATGGGGAAGGTCCTATTTGACTCAAGAACTGGCAGTCCTCATATTAATTTTCAACAATTAAGATTTTTTTTAAAAGTAAGCTGATAGGGTGAAACATATATTAGAATGCTTTTGAAAATGTGCTATAATTAACTTTTGAACAATTCTATAGAGAATTCATTTCAGTATTTCCAGATGACTCCCTCATTGAGAATTGTCATATGAATGAAGGCTAAGCTGGGAATAAAATGGCATTTACTTTTTGAACAGGTACAGAAACCAAGGTGTTGCAACCATAATTTATCATCATGGCGCTTGACCACAATTGTATTCACATTTTCATCTGTATGTGTATACACAAAATCTGTATGTGAATACAATTGTATTCACATACAGATTTTGAGATGAATGGGATTATGCTACAGGGCTTCCAGTCAGTGCATGGTAACCAATTATTTCAGGGATGTTATTTGCTGGATGGCAAATGGACTGGTAGATAGCTCTATGCATGACATTTACTTCATAGAATTCATGGGAACATATCAATCCATACCAAACTTTTTATTGCTTGGATTCTTGCCAGTTCTGTAATTAGGCATCAATATTTGTCCTTCTGAATGTATGAATGCGAGAATGTGAGTTAAATTAAACCTGGTCAGTGACTTTTAAGAAGCCACTAAGTTAGTTGAAATTGTGAAAGGCATCATAAATATACCTTAGATGTTGTTAAACCATTGCAGTGAGGTGACAGCCCTCTTGAAGGAGGACATGACATGTTAGCTCATCATAAAGATGGTACTAAGTAAGTCCACCTATATCCAAATTGGAATGATCCAGCTTTTGATTGTAGAAAGTGCCTCAGCAAGAGAAATTCACTGCAAAATGGTTAATGTTTTTGGAACTGAGAACAGTTTATCCAAAAAAAAAAAGAGAACAAATGCATTAGCATACAACAGATACATAAAGGATTGACTTAACCCCAAGAGTTTTGTGCTGTACATCATCAGTAGAAATGATGATGATTACCCTGATCTTTGATGTGGAAGGACCCCTACTGGTACACTTTCATGATTTTGTGAAAATTGTCAATGGTGCTCAATATGGCCAATATGCTACAAAATGAGCTGCACCTTGCTTTCTGAAGAAAATATTTTGGTCTCCACCCTGATGGAGTCCTCCTGTTGCAAAACAATTCATTGCCATGTCTAGTGACTGTAACTGTGACCACCATCCAAAATATGAGGTAGGAAACCTTGGATCATCCTCCATACAGTCCAGATCTTTCTCCATGCAACTTCATGTACAGGGTGTTTGGAAAGTAACTCCCTATTTAATAATTGCAATAACTTATTCACTCTTTGGACTTGGAACCTTGGTGTTTGTGCCAAAAGAATAAGAATTCAATGGGGTTTTATGATTCATTGATTTGTTTGTTTGCATTGATCCCCCAAGGTGTCAAAATTAAATCTTCAACACCATGCACAAGTAGCTGCACAATATGAGGTATGAAAGTCCTCCATTATGAACTAGAGGTGGTGGTGGAAGGTGAATGGCTTGGATGCAACTCCTAACCTCCTCCACCTTCACACCTCATACCATGCAGCTACTTATGTATGGTGTTGAAGATTTAATTTTGACACCATGGGGATCAGTGCAAACAAACAAATCAATGAAATCATAAAACCCCATTGAATTCTTATTCTTTTGGCACAAACACCAGGGTTCCAAGTCCAAAGAGTGAATAAGTTATTGCAATTATTAAATAGGGAGTTACTTTCCAAACACCCTGTATTTGGCTCCATACAGTGCTTATCGAATGAATTCACCCCCCCCCCCCTGCAGTGGGCAGTGGTGCTGCTGGCTGTGAGAAGAGAGTGACATCTGTTTTTCATCCCATAAACAGCTAAACTATCCACATTTGTGATCCCAGCAAGGTATCCAACTACCATAGACCAGAATGACACCTTGAAGGAGCTCTGCAAACTTGACATAATACAGCTGATCAGAATGAGCAGGAACCAACATGAGTGAAGTGAACCTTGAGGAATGTCAGAGCACCTAAGTAAAAATGATATAGTCACCTTGTTATCGATGCAATCACGAAATCAGTCATATATATCATTCTGAAGCATTTTTATTTTTACCTTATAATTTTTTCATACATGAAAAGACACATCTGGAAAAAATTCACATTTCTCAATATTCAGGAAATCCAAAGATGAGTTAAATGAAATTTTAATTGTTAACTTTCTGAATCCTTCTCCCTAGCCTTGGTTTTCCTTTCCTTTTCCCTTCTAGGAAAACCTCATATGGCAGACGATCTACATTCGATGTACTTTTAACAAATAAGAAGAAATGGACTAGAATCCAGTTGATGCCTAAGTTAATGAAAAAAATTGATCAAATGTAGAAATACAAGAAATTTTAGTATAGAATGTAAATGAGGAGAAAAGTTAAAAATGCTTTTTATTGGACACAGTACTCAGAGCTCAGTTGTATTTTCCCTTCTCTGAGTCTAAATAATGATTATGAAATCTGTCGTTAGTCAACGGGTATCATTGATGTGATTAAAATGAATGAGAGAAAGAAGTTAGGGGCATGTCATTATCTCCCCAAAAGAGTCTTTCATAAATTAATATGATTTACTTTGTTGGAAGACTAAGCGAGATTTAAATGGAAAACTCAGAATGAATGAATACACTTTCCCCAACTGTTTAGAATGCAGGACATAGCGATGTGGGCGACATCTACCTTGATTAGTTGTTATTAGCAGTTACAGCATCTGCAGATGCATCATAGAAAAGCATGGCAAGTCATAGAAGCCCTTAGTAAGAGGGGGGTGAATTCATTCGATAAGCACTGTAGAAGGCACCTAGGATAGAGGTTTGCATTACATACTGAACTCAAGAAAACCATCCAACAATTGTTAGCATTGCAGCCACCAACCATTGAGGTAGGAATAAGAAATCTAAAAAGGATACGAGATCAACTTTAAAGCAGGAGAGGGGATTACTTTGAATAAAACTCTGGCAATGCAACAAAAGTTTTGACCAGGTTTCATTTGACACACTCTCATATATTTTTCATTCAAATATATGCATGTAATATTTCCATTGCATTCAATCAGTTGTTGAGATTTATGAGGATTAGGAAATATGACCAATCTGTACGTTGACCCAGATATGAGTTTAATGTTCTGCTCCTTTAAACAGTATTTCTCATGGTGCAAGGTCAAAGCAAAAAACCTTGTTCGCCTTGAGAAATAGCCTAGAGATATACATAAACATTATTTCAGCTACATCTTCAGCCCATATCTGCACACAGCTTGAAGGCTTGAGATTGAAAGATGACAAGGAAAAAAATGAACTGGAATTCCTTTGCTTACAGCAAATGTCATTTCATACCTCAGGCAATTGAAGGCCTTGGTTTTGGTGTCATTGACAAGTTTTTCTTGGAGTTTGATGAGCCCTTCTGGGAGGAAGACAGTGAAGGAATTCACTTGGTATGGAGCTCTGATGACAGGCAGTCTGAGTGCCCAGTTAGTACATCTTCATGCGCATTAGAACCAAATGAGATATTTTCGTTACATAGATCCAAGCATTGAGATTTAAATTACTTGCTTGTTTGTTTTTTTTAGCTCTCAGAAAGCTGGGTGAGAGGGATATCTGGTTTTGACCATGTTTTGAATCATCCTAATATCCTCTTGGGATGGATTGGAGGCATGGAGGCAAGATTCATGGAAACATTGACAGATCAGGAGGTCTGGCAAGGAATTTCCACAGCTCTAAGCAAGTTTTTGGATCTACCTCATATTCCTACACCTAAAAGGATCATCAGGTAATTAATGTGAGCAAAAGAAGTCGAGTAGAACATTGGCTGCTGTTTTGGTCAAGATTATTGTAAAAATTTGGCATTTGCAGAGCTAGCTATATTTAACCTTTTCAGTGCTACTATTGGATATATTCGGATATTTCCGACAGTAGCACACCATGCCTTCACTGCTGCTGTCATATATCCAGTTTGAAACACCCACCAATTCTCTATTTATTTTGAAGGTCGTTTTGACCCTTTTAGAGGAGTAAAAACACTCATGATATCTCTTGAAGGGTGTATTGCAGGTAACAATTATTTTTTATTTGCATGTCAATTAACATTCAGAACACAAAACAGAAAAAAACACTCAAAATAACTCAGCACAGAGCAGTGGGCATTGGCAAAATAACATAGCATTGAAAGGGTTAATCAGGATTGCAGAATTTGTTTGATGTGATCAGCCAATTCATGCTGGTATCAAAATACTGTACTTGTGGTGAAATTCTTCATGCACTCATTTGTATAAGCTCATCAAGAAAAAAGCACTTAGGGATTAAGCTAATTATGGAATTGCAGGAGCTCATATTGGTATGTACTGAAATATATTAAAGTTTAAAAATTGTCGCATGAAACTTTACAGAGAAAACATTTTCTCTGCCAAACTTACCAAATGCCTAACTGAATGGTGGGGGCAAAGGGGATGAGTTCCAATATTGGATATTCATTATCACTCATGTCAGTTGACATTAGCATCAGTGTTGAATATTTTTACAAGTCTAAGACAGTTTCACCAACTTGACCAGTGTGACTATACAGTTTAACCCTTTTAGTACAATGGGAACTATACAGGGTATTTCAAAGTTATGTATAAACACTTTGAGTTGTTGTATCTTAAAAAGTTTATTGCTTAAACACAAACCAAAAATATTTTTACATGCATTATATATGTGGAAATGTGATGCATGGAAAAAGTTGGGTCAGATGTTCAAAATGTCCACCACTGGCACACATATGCAAACAGCATCATTTCTAAACAGCCCAACATACAGTGGCGCACATGTCAACTGTGATTTTACATGATCCCTGTTGTATCATGTCCCACAAATTCTGCACTGTTTCAGGTTTATAGTGGTACACTTTCTCTTACCTTTGAGGTATCCCCATGCAAAGAAATCTAGAGGGCTGAGGTCTGGAGACCATGGGGGTTTTCATGGGCGCTTCCCCGGCGACCTTTCCACCCTTCAGGAAATTCAGTAATAGGCACAGACATTTATGCGGAAGGGTGATGGTGCTCCATATCACTGTCTGGAAACATATTTCTTATCACAGAAACTGCATCATTCATTAACAATTCGAAATAACTTTGCCCAGTAACAGTATCACTGAATCTGCAAGGTCCAATTATCCCATGAGAAGAGAGTCCCATCCACACAGTAATTCCTGGCCTGGCCCTCCACAGTAAAAACCCAAACATTTCTCTACAGAAAGATGTTAAATTGCCAGTGGTGAACATTTTGAACATCTCACCAAATTTTTCTTTGCATCACAATTCCACATATCTAATGCATGTAAAACTATTTTTGGTTTGTGTTTAATCAATAAACTTTTTGAGATACAACAACTCAAAGTGTTTATACATAATTCTAAATCACCCTGTATATTGTCGATCAAACCTATGAATTGGCCATGTGGCACTAAAAGGGTTAAATTACATGCATTACTACCACTACCAAAGCCACTGTGCTCAACACTTGAGACTGTTTCTCATATACCCCCTCTTGCAGCAATGCTTGCTTTTTCATTGAGTATTTGGTGAGGTTTCCTAGTTGAGATTCATGGCATGACCTTGAACTCTTTTGCTCACCTCATGCAGTTGAGCACAAAACTGATAGCAATTTCAAATTATTTTATCAATTATTTTTTATATAAATTCAATTCATGAAGCACTTTTCATGAACAGGGGATTCACCCAGAAATTATCCCAAATTTAACCATGACAAACGATTAGTTGTCTAGTTACAGCTGATATTGTCATTTTGAAACTCTTTAAAGTAAAGGTCAGGAACTAAACCACGTTTTAACCCCTTGAGTACCAGTCAAAACTTCCCTTTTCACCCTTCCAGGCCTGCCCAAAATCCTGCTAGATAAAGGTACTACACCCAATGTCCTTAACACACTCAATGCCAAGTGTATCACCAGTGATATAATTTACATATTATAATTTCTGTTTCGCAGCCAACACGTAAATGGTGAAAGAGGGTTAAGTACAATTATCAACTCAACCTTAGTGAAATGTAGCAAGCACAATATGGTACCTGTTACCTTTATAATGGCAGAGCCAGGGATATCATCAATGGGGAGCAGCATTTTAGCAGCTCTCATCCCACTTTCTCCCTCTATCTCTTTTGAAGCACTGGGTGAATCTAGGGATTTAAGAAGTTATTCATGAAGTTTGACTCTTGCACAAAAGTTTGCAGGGCTACATCTCCCTCCATTCCACTGCACCTGTAGCAGCTGAGGCAACATCTATATTTCCCTGAGCAAAAATATGGTCCTGCTGTCTGTTAGTAGGGCCATATTAAAAAATGGATTCCCATTTTGGGGTATGGGAAAGCAATCTGAAAACATTGTAGTATGAGCTTGTGATTCTATCTTGAGAATTTAACCTCTAGGAACATCAGCCAAAGACCTAACTAGAGAAATTGCAAAGAATGAGATGGTATGGAAGAACTTTTGTTTATCCCATTAGTAGTCATTATTTTGGATGAAATAAAGAAATACAGTTATGCTGGCCTAGCCTCTTTCTGATAGCTCAGAGAAAAGCAGATGACTCAGTTTCAAGGCCTGTGAGACATAACCAAGGTACAATGGGTAACTCATTCATGCATAAATATCCTAACATTTAAAGATCTTCCCACATATGATAAGAAATGGCATTTCTCATTAACTGCAGGGAGACTCTGGGGTTACCACACATTCATAATTTGTGTGGACTGTATATATTTCAGATGCAATGTCCATTCTGCAAACTGATCCTAAAATGGACACTCTTTTTTCCATATGTTAAACTCAAGATTTTTTCATTAATAAAGCTTTATGGCAGTCAAAATCTTTCTTTTCTGTAAGTCAAAAACAGTAGGTCACACTCATAACACCAATTGGCACCTTGGCTTAATGTGGCTGTGGGTATTCATGGCATAGCTGCATACACAGGTATATTTTGAATATATTGTCCATATTTTCTCTATGTCCATACTTTGTTAAATTCAAAGGTGGCAACCCTAAGAGACTCTGTGCCTGATAAATAAATAAATAAAATAAAAAGTCAGATAATATCTTCACACAACTTTTCCTGCAGCAGTTTATACATCAGTTTTGTTTAAATTGTTTTGACCACTCTATCCAATGAGACAGTGAAGCAAAAATTTCCAGTTTTCCAAAGAAGCACTGACAGTAAATGTAGCTAGCAACTGATCTTGAATTCCATCCAAACACCACCTGCAAGATTTGTTTCTTGTAGGTCCCATTGGTACTCAAATCCTTTCATCAGGGGATCATACAGCTACCGCCCAAGGAGGTGTGATGAGATGGGAGTCAAGGCTGCAGATCTGTTAGAGCCTGTCAAGTCAAGTGCATTGGACACTAAGGGCACCCTTATTCAGGAGGTAAAAATCTCATTGGAGTCTCTATAGTGCTTTTGGCATGACTTGGCCTGTCATCTTCTATTATGGTACTTCTGCATCATGAGAGAGTTCCAGCTTCAGCTGCTATTATTCCTGCAAATAAGGACTGTTGGATTTGGTCAATTAGAGTATTGCACATGATTGTACATGTGCATATATCAGAAAGCACAGGTCTCAGCTAATGCGGATTGGTTATTATGGCATGCCTATCACTATGGAGGCCCTAGGAATGCATGTGTTCTTTCACAGCCATGGATGAGAAATCTCACTCACCAGGCATGAAGTTCATGGTAATTTGACCCCAATTCCATACTTAAAGGCAGTCATGTATGTATGAGCACAGACATGAAGTATTATGAAGAGCCTGTGATTTGAAATTACTGTCTGTTGTCAGTTTGATCTGCAATCAATTATACTGTATAAATAGTCCATAGAAGATTGTATATCCAATTAGTAATTGTAGCTGAAGCTCTCTGTTTTATATAGTGACTTCTAGTAATCACTAGTGGAAGTAATTGTTCTAGGCTATGAACCACTGAAAGGTGTTCTTTCAGCCACATTTGGCAATTCAAAAGTATGAGAAAACAACTTGCACAATGCTTTGGAACAATTTTTCCATTCTGCATTCCATTCTGTGCCACCTGGACCCTATATGTTCTATTTTCCGTTCCCTTCCATTTCCTTGTAAAGTTGTATGCTATAGTAAATCAAGTCTGCTTGAACTTTCTAAAGCAAGGTTTGTTTGTAAAAACACGTCATCCAAAATATTGTCCTGCTCATAAGCAAAAAGTGAGGACATATGAAATTTCATGAGATCCTACATTACATAGATAAATGGGAAAAGTTACTTTGAATGGAAAAGAAAAATATTATTGTAAAAGAAAAAGTAAATAATTATTTTCCAGAATAACCTAGTAGATGCTGTTTCAATTTTTTATTTCATCACTGTGAGTAATGTCCTATGCTCCATTCTGAAGCCCAGATCAAGCAAAATCACTCTCATTGCAAAGGAAGATCAATTTTGCTGTCTACCAGTAAGCCTATAAAAATAGTTGATTTAATTTATATATCCCATTTATATTCCATATAAGGGTCTGTCCGTACCAGGTGGTCCTAGAATTTTATCTGGAAATTTTCCTAAATATGCAAATAATACTTTCGCTACAGAAGTTTATCATCTCCTTTCCTAGAAGACATGAATGAAAGATAATATTACATTGAAAAATGAAAGAATTAGTCATGATGATGATACATTATTCATACCACTCTCATGATACTCAAAAATGTGATGAAAATGCAAATCTGGAGAGACTGAATTAGAATACTGGAAGAGATGCCAGCATGGGCTTTCCATGCATACTGAAAATCAGCTCAAATCAGCTCAGGTGTGAAGAGTAGATGTCAATTGTTCACATTTGAAATGATATCTTTAAAATAAAATAAATATATATGTACAGACTTCTCGTTTCAAAATACATTTTCAGAACATGTCACCTCTGACACCATCACAAAAAAGGCTTATTTTCTATTTCAAGTGTTGTCATCTTGGGGTGACTTACAGTAATTCCAGGCGTTCATTCCATCTATAGAATGAACATGAAACTAAATTATTAGGATTCACTCGATGACAGATATGTGAACATTAGTGCAAGTGACTTAAACTTGAGGTTCACAAAATGTCACGTCTGACACTTTTCTTTCCACATAGGTACAGCTCTAACATAAGAGAGAGTGCAGGACTTTGGATTATGGAATTTTCAGTCACCACCCAAAGCAAATTTTTACAGCCTTTATATGCTGATTCATTAGCCATAATGTTAAATATATTTTGTATACTAAAAATATTACCCTGGATGTCACATCCGACGCCATGGACAGACCCATAAGCAATGAGCAAAATCAGACCAAAATCATGAAACATAATGATGTTTGTGCGAGAAACCTTCTTAAGCTTCAAGGGTTGGAGTGCTTGGACAGGTACCAGTCATCTTATTTGCTGGAGAAGGAGTCCATGTTTCCCAATATTCCACAGTTCATGGTGCTTTCGCAAGTGGCCAACAAGCAGCAATGATGATTCTGAAGCATCGGTAAGCACCCTTGTAACTAGTGTGATGTTATTTTTCAACAAAAATTTGTGTGTCTGATATTTATCTAGATGTGATATTTCAACTATCTATTATCAACCTTTACATGCCAGAGTCTCATCCAGCTGAACTGATTTCTGATGGAACATTGAAATGCTGCCTCTTGACTTTTCTTCTAAAAGAAATGAAATTCATAAGCACCTATTAGCATAATAATAACATAATTCACCTGAATCATTCCATTTTTCTTTGTCCTTAATTTCCATGTCTGAAATAGACCATTTTACTGCTATAACAATAATTCTGGGATGCCTTGAATATCGCAGAATATATGAGGTATATAATTGCAAGTCAAATTGAATTGGATTGTGCCTGACTACAAAAGAAAGAATTGTAATTGTTAACTGATGGTATAATTCCTGTTCTTGGCATGATATGAAAAGGGATGAGACAATGAAGAAAGCTCATCACTCCTTGCAAAATTGTCTGGAATATCTCTCATGTCACAAGTGGGAGGAGGTCATTGAAACCTTGGAACTTGTAATCCATGAAGGACTTAAAATGCCCCATCAAATGACAACACTTATCAGCCTAATGCTTTGTTCACAGGTCTGTTTATACACCTGGAGGAGATTCAACCTGATGATGTGATTGAGTAGGGCATCAAGGCATCACATGGGCTCCCCACAGGAAGATTCATTCTTTGGTGGCATTCAAAAATTGTTTGTAGAACTATGCCAGAAGGTATTGATGAATGTGAGCTCTGTGAAATTTGTTAAATGTTATGGATGATGATTTGATGAATTTCTTTTCCTCATCAACTTTGGGCTTGGTCTGGTAGGATCCAATGAATGTTATTCTCATTTCAGTTGTCTACATGAGTCTGTTACAAGGAAATCTTTTTTCTCAAATCACAAGTTGATATATTTGAAAATTCATCCATCATGCCCTTGAAGTTTGCTTATTTGCTCCAAACCAACCTGCTGGTATTCATTGTCAAATTGCATGTTTTTTAATATCTGTTATTCATCTCTGAATACTAGTAATTCTAGTGAATAATACATTTAGATTACCATATATTCTTGACATCAATTCACTTTTCATATTATCAGTTTCACTTATTTTGCTTTGCTCCTGATTGATTTGATTTATTTTATGGGTGGAAGAATTCTGCAGTGCTGTAGAAGTAGTTATGATTCTCTCAGGTCTACAGACGGAAGCTTGAAGACTCATGTCGTGCTGTTCTACCATGTATTGTAATTTTGTACAGTTGGAATGACATTGGGCCTGTCATTGAAATAAACCTGGAACCCAATAATGTTGACAGCAATGTTGGAGTGAATTTTCTCCTAAGGTTCCCCTGGGTCATTATATTCATGGACAAGATACATGGTGCATATCCATGTTCACAAAATTACATAAAAATTCCCTTGTGGGATGTATGGAGTCCTGAGGAAAACCATAGAATTTATGCTCTCAATTTCTTTGTCAAACATTGCATAGCATGTTTTGAGAGGATGCAATGGGAAGCAAATTAATTCCCATTTGCAGTCTCCTACTTTCAGACCCCTATACTTGATGACATATCTAGAGAACACTTAGTAGTTACTTCTTGAAAAGAGATTTCTGATTGTTGTGAAAGTAAAAAGGAGCAATGGGGTCTGTTGGGACACCTTGATGGCAAGCAATATTTTTCCAAGATACAGTAGATGCCACTTATTGTGATCATGGTGCAAAGAAATTTGATTGAAGCAGCTGATAATAACCAGTGATCACAATAAGCAGCATCTCCTGCACTTCCTTCAGGACAGGATGTCCCTCTCATAAGATGGATGGAAGTCATATGATGACCTATTGTTGGTCATTAACCCTTCCAGACCTGGCATCCATTCAAATGGACATTGCATTTACATTGTCTATGACAACTTCTTTAAATTCTCATGACTTTGCACTCTATATTACACTAAAATGGGCGTAATTATGCATGGCTCAGTTCCATCAGAGGCCTTCTCTTACCCTTTAGTATTTTAATCTTCAGTTATTTAATTAAATGTTTAATATATAATATATCGTATGATGTAAATTTATACAAAATATGAAAACTACATAAAAAGCACAAAAATTTCAATTAAAATCACAAAAGAGCTCAAAAATGCAAAAAAAGATATAATTCCAATAGCGGCCTTAATTCAGGTCTGAAAGGGTTAAAATAACCATCTGATGGTTTCTGCAAAAGTCCAAATCAAGCCTGCTGCTGAGTGTCATCAAACATCCACTTCACAACATGGTTTACTGTATCAGGAGGAGAGGTGGATAACACAGATTTTAGTAGCATGCAAATAGATGACACATCCTTCCCACCTGTAAATGCTGTGCTTGATGCAATCTTTGAATAATAGGTGTGCTGTGGGTCTCTAATGTGTTTCATTCAGAAGATTAATTAAAACACAACTTTCACACAAATTCCAGCTTCCTGAGTCACTCAGTTCTACTTTGAGGTATCACACAAGAGCAAGTTCCAGCAGTTTAATACATCAAAGAGTTGCTTCATTTGTCTTCATTGCATTTACAGCAAGAGTAGGAGGCAGTCATTCAAGTCATACCCATATCAGTCACTGTCATACCCTAGTCTTTGGATCATCACTGTTAACAGGATACAGAGTTTGTAAATGGAAGAAGTCACCTCTTAGCCTTTATTCATGTCACAGGGGAGGGTGGGAGAAGTACCACTACAAGAAAATAAACATACGAAAATACAGGGTTGATCGGAAGTTCAATTTTCCATTTCCACTTCTCAACCAGGGCTAGTTTACCCTTAATATGATCCTTGCATGAAAAAAGAATAGGCCTACAGTAATTATCTCAAGAGTAAATGTGAGTTTTAGGTGATGTGGGAGGCTGACTTGAATGCAAATTCAAATGACACAATGGGAGTGAAGGGTTTGCAAGATTCATCGCTTCCCACTATTATTGTAGGATGAGATGGTGCGCATAGGAGCCTTGAAATTTGCTGCTGCTTGAAGTTGGATGTTGTATGCGAGGGGATGAATCTTGAAACCATACAGCCTATAAAGAGGATGCCAAAAATAAATGTCAATTTTTGCTTTTCAGCACAACCATGCTGCCCCTTCTTCACATGAACAAAGACTACCATGGAAAAGATTACTTTGCAGAACCTTAGCAAATTATCAAAATCACCATACCAGTACAAAAAGAATTTAAAACAATGAACTTGATGGATTCCACTGTTATCTGGCATTGCCTGGCACTTGGATGATCCCACTAACCAGAACAACCACACCAACCAGATCACATTGGAAGATTCATCTAGATATTCCAAAATAGTAACATTGCTATGTCTCTATTTTCTGTGACCTCCCTCATTGATGAACCTCACATGAACATGGTGATACATGCTAGATACTGAACTTCTTCAGGACCCCAACTCAAAAAATAAGTTGGCATGGACATTGGGAGAAAATTCCTTTTCTCCAAATCCTGTATCTTAGGGTTGTTAAATGTATTTCAATGTACCCCTTGGATAAGAAACTGGAATGAAACAGACCTAGCCACAAACTGATTTGCAGGCCGCTTTGGTCTGTATTCTGGGTGAACCATGAACAGCATGTGAGGGAAGCCAGTTCCAAAGTATGCACCATCCGTGTGATGATGACGTGAGGATTTCGGGTTGTAAACATCCATGCACTTGGGACAGTACAGTTTCACCATTGCTTCTCCAGGGACATCTGAAAGCCCTGTCATAAAGACAGCAAAGAGGAAAATGCATAAACCAGTAAATCATAAAAAGCAAAGAAATATTTTTTTTCCCCACTTACCAATTGGAAGGAGAGGCTGATTCTCACAGTAAACTCTTGGACAATGACCAAAATCTCCTGCTTGGTATTTCTCAATCATCTGGGCAATTCCTCGATTAGTCAAAATATATCGTGCATGTATGAGCCCATACAGCATCTCTGCTGCCTGCTCAATTAGGTCAGACTGATTTGGATTATCCTCCAATTCCTCATCTGCAAACAAAATATTCAGAATAGTAATGTCCTCAAAGTATGGCAGTAGCTAAGGATATTTCTTGAAAACTTCTTAAGTGATGAAGTATGAGCTCACCAGGTTCAAGGTCAAGGATCATATCCAGTGCTTGCCTATAGTGAGGAACTTGTTCATTCAGACCTGTGAGGTTGAATTTGTCCTGAATGTAATCCTCGTCCACCTACATGAGAGATGTTCCAGAGTTCTCATTGACATTTTGATAGCCATTGATGAATTCCTGATGAGGAATGATCACTAATCCAATTCTAAATTTTTTAATGTATGTAAATTTTTTATATATAAATAATAACTTTAGTACCAATTGGTAATTAATGACCAATGGCCAGCACATGTTCAGGAATAATGACTCACCTCACAGAAGAACTCATTTCCCCTCAGACCACAAAACCAAGAAATCCATGACACTTCCTCTGAGCTGCTCATGCTTACCCTATACCTGTAGAAGAGTTCAAAGTATTGTCTCATTATATTACTTAGGGATCTGCATTATACAGCCGAAAGGCCCTGCAATGTATACATTTCAACTGACCATAGTAAAATGAAGAAAATGAACAGAAGTTTGACAGTTGTATGACAGAATTAGATGAGAGTAAAGCAGCAAAGAATCCATTGTGTACTGAGAAAATCTCAGTTGAGCAGTGTACCATTTATTTTTGAAGTCAAGTTGAACTATGCTAGTAAATCTGGATAGATTGGGGGCCATCACTCATCAGTCTTTCTCACTGCATAGGTATTTGCCAACTCCTGCTTTATATGACAAATTATAATCACTCAAGCATAAGTAGGAGCTCTGCATGATGAATCGTCTTCAATCATATGCAAACAAATGCAAAACACCTAGCACCCTTGATATACATCTTACCTGAACTATTGGAAATTCAATGGTCTCGGATGTGGTCTGAACAATCCAATTCTTCTCCTGATGTTATCAAGTTTATGCTTCTCTGTGTTACTGGCACTTGTCACCTCTTTTGAGGCACTTGTACCAAGTATTTCTTTTTTTATTGAGTCAAATTCACTCAGATCTTCCAATTTCAGCTCAATCCTGCTCAGAGGTCTCCGAATCATGTGACTTGAAAGAATTTCAAATACACTTGCAGATTCATTCAAATGTAATTTGGAATGAAATTGACAAAACAGAGGGGGGAAATGGGAGTATCTAGAGAAAGAAAAAAAGAAGATATACAGGTTTCACAATTAGACCTTCACACAATTCTAATATCTATATCACTTCAAAGAGAAACAACCTATGCCTTAGAGAAGGTCCAACCAGTATCATCTCATACTGATAGCCTTGGCCTACTTACAAAACATGTCACTGACTTGTGATACTTATATATATCTCCTATACAACTTCCCAGTAGAGCACATAGAGTTGAATATAGAAGCTGAACATAGCATGTGGCCCAAAAAAGCTCCCACACAAGGTATCAGCAGAAAATGTACAGGATATTACATTCAACCAATGCTGGCATTTTCAGAAAACCTCAACATACCTGGTAATTATATAGTGCAAGTAAGAACTTGTTTATGCAACATATCTAATGAACAATTTTGTATGTTTTGCATCCTGAGCTGGAGTGGGGTAAAACAAGTCTAATCGCACACAGAGCAAATCACTTGAGTTTACACTTTAGCACACTCACTACACTGTTTCCAGATTGAAATTGTACCCCCTAAAGGAGTGCTTCCATTGATCATGGGTAGTGACATTTTACACATGGGTGGTTAGATCTACCACCTGATGAAGCAGAACCTCTGGAAATTTGTGTTTTCTCCATTCTCTACTATAGGAGAGTGGTTAAAAATTCAATCCAGAAGCAGTGTACTTGAATATTGCAAAGTGATATACATCTGTGCTCCCAATGATGGTTAATCTTATTGACTCATGCCCATCAACTTGTTCATTAATGAAAGCAAGCTCTTCAGTTCCATGTATTCTTATATAAACAAAACTAGCCTCCAATGAGAATTACAACACTTTGGCATATTGCTCAATTTATGAAAACTCAGGATAAGGGTTCCAGATGATATAGCTACAATACAGATGCATAGATACTCCCACAAGGCCAATCCACTGATCCTATTCATGTTATTCACTTTGCCACCTCTAAAAGGGGCAAGCCATAAGTCTCTCTAATAGTAGGGTGACCAGATATTTTTCATTTAAAAAAAAAACAGACATTTTCAAGAAAATGCCCAAATGTCAGTCCTAGCAATCCAAAAACTGGGACACCAGGAAGGAAAGAAAAGTTCAGTCCTTAAGATTTAATGACTGCTATACATCCTTGTGTTCCTCCAGAAGCATTTGTAGACTTTAGTTCAATATATTGGTTCTTTGCCTCCTCCAAAAACTGGGACATAGCATGAAAAACCAGGACACCTGGTCACCCTACAGTATGGGCCTGCTCCCAGAGAAAAGAAATGTACAAGCTTCTCACTCTCTCAACTTTTCAGCAGTAACTAGAACCAAAGGTCAAATTATGTCTACCCGCTTGACCCCCTTTCTTGGCCTTTCAAAAATCTGATCCTGTTGATGCAAGATAAGACTTCAGCCAGCCCTAACTTCATAAATCTTGCAATGCATGATGTCCTTTTTAACCTAGACAAGAAGTTATAGCTTACTGTAATTTAAGGCTATGCTTTTGTGGTTGAAAATTTTTCATAAAAATGCATCCTCTGGATGCATAATTTCTTCAACTTTAGGCTTTGACTTCTAATATAGGTTTGAGAAGAAACTCCTTCCTCTAACTTAGATTCCCTAGAATTGACTCCATTTAGACCATGAACCTGACTTAACAATATGCTCCAGACTGATTAACTCAAGTTTAATGAAATCTTAAAATCTGCAAATGATCTACATACCCAGAGTAATCACTCATATAAACTAAGAACTCACCATTCCTATCCCCAACACTGTCTAATTGATACCAGTTTGTACTTCATCTTTCCAGTGTATTATATCTGTATGGAATACCCTTCCAAACCATATCATTCATTGTTCCTCTTATTCAAATCCTTTCCAAAAAATTATTACATTCTGTAACATCTGTTCTACATGCTGACAGACAGCTAATTCAACAGCACCAAACAAGTAAGATATATTCTCAAGCTTCATGTTTCATCAATTTGTTAAACTATCATGGTAGCATAACACTTGAGAGTGAATATCACTCAGCACTAGGCTTTCTTTTTGCATGAAAAAAAAACTAAGCAAAGCAGAATGATGCTTTCAAAATAGGGCTTGTCAGTTTCAGGGGGGATCTTTGAACTCATGAGGTGTTACTCTTTTTATCTTTCAAGCATTAGTTATCTACTAGCCTTGCCTCCTACGCTTCCCCTACCTCTTTGGAGAGCTTACGTCAACCCTTAGCCTATTCTAATTGTGTATGTGGAAAATAAAACCCATTCATTTGTAAACAGGAAGACATAAAGCCTCAACCTATCATATGCCCATCTCAACCATGGAGTTGCATGAGCCCGGCCTGCCAATACCCACTGCATGGAATAGAATACAAGGCCTAACTTAGTTCTTCTTACGAGTGTGCAATTATCTAGATCTGACCTAACAGTATAAGCATGAGTCTAGCTTTTTAATGCCTCATTTCTCTCGTGGTGTTGGGTTCTATCGTAAGTCCAGGCATGTAAGCATTATCTGCAAAAGAAACGCTAGGCCTACGAGGCTGCGACTGACATCTACATTAACTTTCAACGTGTGTCCTTCTACCTCGTGGAATGTCATTCCCTGTTGCATTCATACATTCAACTGAACCGAGATAAGCTTTGAGGTCAGCAGCCCAACTAGGTTTATTAAATATTTCATACTCCTAACCTTGGCATAAAATCACTTTCCACTGCACACAGGGATGCACCAGCGCAACCGTGCAGGTGCAGGCACTCTATGAATGCTGGTGCTGTCGATCTTTCAGGAGCCAAGCGAGCGAAGAACAAAACCCTAATATCTTACAACTTTATGTTGCAAAGTTTTCCAGTTGTATTCGACATTTGTTCATTGTACTCCAACACGCTGGATAATTTATAAAATTCAATAGGAAAAAAGACACGATATCGAGCCCAGCGGCGTAGCTGGGTTTGATATCGTGTTCAAATTCAAAACGTCGATGACTTCTGACTTCAACTTACTGACCAATTCTTTCTATCAGTCTTCTAAAGCACTCAATCATATTGAACTTATGTTTGATCATATACAATATTTTTACGAAAAATTATACAGGGTGGTCCAAAAGTATCCATACATAGGGAAAATTAACACTTAAAAAAAGTGTAACTTTATTTTCTAAATATGCTCTACATACATATTGAATTATTTTTCTTTTTTCTTTTTTCAGATACCCTTTAAGCCATGTAGAGCATATTTTGTGAATAAAGTTACATTTTGTTAAAAAGTGTTCATTTTCCCTATGTATGGAGACTTTTGGACCACCCTGTATTATGGAGAACAATGTATTTGAACATGAAATCTCATCTATGACAGTATTGATGGAAGTATTAGGGTGCCTTCATACCGGATCAGTCTAGTCTAGTCTAGTCTAGTCCAGTCCAGTCAAGGTTAGTCTTGGTTCAGTCACGTCTAGTCAAAGCTAGTCATGCTTCAGTCAAGTCACTTAGTCAAGATCTGTCATGCCTTCTCCATTACCAACGGATACCTCTACATCGAATCAGTCTAGTCTAGTCACGTTTAGTCATTGGTCAGTCCAGTCCCTTCAGTCAAGCTCAGTCAGGTGGATACACATGCACAACTGTAATGCCAGTTCAGTTCACCATCTGCTCCAGTGGTAGTCTTGTTGAGCAGCATGGAGGAGAGTGAGGAATAACTGGTGTCGACCCATGTTTTTTTTTGTCGTGATGGGAAAGAGATGGCGGAAGAAGTTGTGGGTGCATCCCATTAATTCACAAATGCAGCGATTCGATGAATACCATCACCTTTTCACCGAATTGGAGAAAGATCCTGAGCGGTTCTTTTGGTATTTTCGCATGAGGACATCCTCTTATGAGAAACTCTTGCATCTCACAGCTCCACACAGAGAGAAGCAAAACAGCAACTACCGAAGGACTATTCCTCCAGAGTAACGGCTAGGAATCACACTGAGGAGAGTCGCAAACACAATTCCATGGTAACTCTCCGATGAAGGCTATATGCAATGAGGTAATGAAGAAATCGCTCTTCAACCCCTTTATTTCAAAAGCACAAGGGAGGGTCCTACGGGATCGCGAATACGTGCTAGATAGAGAATGCCAGATCATCAGTTGCAAGCTGAGACCATGTTTCTCTGTCACACCCATCTTTCTCACTAATCAACAGTTCATGTCCTGTAAGCTAGTGCGGTGTGGAGTGGAGTGGAGCTGGAGTGATTCAAGAAGAAGATGGTGTCATTTCGCATCTCATGACCTGTCTCATTCTCCAGTTCATTTGCGCCATCAGGAGCCGTTTTCCTATCTCAATCATACCCAATCAGTTTCTAATGAGGGATAAAGGGAACTCATTTTCAACAGTCATTGCCCCTTCACATCCATGTGAAGGTGAAGTTTGAGTTCGGGTAGCATATGGGTGCTCCAGTGTTGTGCGAGCGTACGAAGCCCTGATTCGTAGTACAGAGTAGCACTAGCAGGGCAAGAAGACGGAGTTGAGGCACAGTGATGGGGGGGGGGGGGGGGGGGGGGGTCCCCGAGGCTCCATTATAAGGACCTCCCACTTTCCTCCCTACTCCTACACGGTATCGTATGTAGACGACCCTGAACATACCGCCCGAAAGAGCACTCGACGAAGACTGGAATGGAGCTGGGGAATGGGTAGGGTCGTATATCTCAGGCCTTTCGCAAACCAAAGATATCAGTACTTCCACTTGGGAACTCATTTCACACATGCCTACAAGTCCCACACCACACTAGACTGACGGAAAAATAGAGCTTGTGCCTATTAGCGTCTTGACTAAACGTGACTAACGAGGACTAGACTAGACTTGACTGATGCGGTGTGAAGTGGATATCAGAAAGAGCATGTTTAGCAATGGAGCTGTAAAAGTTTTTGGCTAGACTAAAGATGACTTGACTTGACTAGACTGAAGAAGACTGACAGGTGTGCATGCCCACTTCGACTCGCCCAGCTAGACTGGACTGGACTAGACTAGACTGATCCGGTGTGTAGGCACCCTTACAGTCGATTAACAGATTCACTGACGAAAATGTATCAACCACGGTCAAACTTTCGGCAATAGTAAAGGTATGTAACACGTGCATTTTCCTCGATTATGCGCAACACGTTTTTGGGATGACTGCCCTTTCGACTTTAGCACAAAGATTTGTGGTCAATTTTTTATACTTTTAATGGGCGCTTATTTTAGAAAATGCATCATGGTAGTGGGTGGGGGGAGTGAAAATTTCATTTCATATTGGAAATTCAGAATTAGGGGGCGCCCTTCTCATCTGAAAGGAAAAATTAACGTAGAATTTGTAACGTTTCATTTCAAGTAATTACAATGAATTCGTAAATTTTTAAGTTTTTTTTTATAATTCCGCAGTCAATTCCTCAGTTTGGCGTCCTGTGGCACCGCTCGCACACACCTTGTTACGGCACTGACAGTATCCCAGAGTTCCCGTGCCCCTCCCCCCACTTTTTTCATCCACGCTACGCTTTTGATCGAGCCTTTTAGTCGCCGGATTATTCCACTATAGAATGAACTGTGCTTGTAGAATTCTAGGCATTTCCCACTGTCTCATAGGAGTACATTAAAATACAGCCAGAATGCCCCACAGCAGACAATGGGAAACGTCTGCAATTCCACCTGCAATCAGCTCTACAGCATTAAAAAAAAAAATTCAGTTACTAAACTTCCGTATTGTAATCACAAAATCGTATTTCTTGGTGACCAGGTCGATATTTAGCTATTCAATGGGAAAATTGAATTTTCACACCTGGGATTTAGCACATGTTGGGCCGTTGGGTGAAGCCTAGTCATGGACGACAACTAACCTAGATGTATCTGAAGAGAAGTCAATGACAGTGTGGATAGAGATATGGAACTATATTCCCACAATCAGGGCCGGATTAAGAAGTTGCGAGGCCCGGGGCAAGTGGATTCTTGGGGCAACCCTCCCACTTTACGCAAATACTTAACGTTTTTAATTTCCTTCGAAGGGGGGGGGTTCTGGAATAGTGGGACCCGGGGCAACAGTCCCCTTTGCCCCCCCCCCCCTAAATCCGGCCCTGCCCACAATGTACAGGCTGTAACCTGTAGCAACAAAAAAAAAGACACCTAAATTCTTAGACTCATAAGCTGAAGCCAGTCTTACAAAACTTCTGCGAATAGACTGATATACTCTGAACACCCCTCTGAAATTTCATTCAAATTCACCCTGTTACAGCTAGGCTGTGACAGAGAACGATTATTTAGAAGTCGTAGATTGAAAATGGACGGAGTTGGATACGATGTAGAACAGGAGCTCCTACAAGTACCTCACGCATCGCATCCAAGGCTAGCGATCCCCTAGCACCCCTATAACGTGTTTCTGGGCAAATTTGGGAGATATAAGTGATGGAAGAAACTGTGACGTTCCCAAGGGAGAGGTTATGAGAGTCATAACCCCCCTTGGGATATTTTACAGGCCCGATTCTAAAAATGTTTTCATTTGATTTGGCCATAAATGCAGGGGGATTACCAATTTTTTCCATGTCAACCCCCTCAGCAAGTCAATTCCCTCCCCATTGGGATTTTCTGGGCACGCTACTGGATGGAAACACTTCCTTTCGCTTCTTTTTTATTTGATAAATTTCTCCAATGGTATGCACATTGAATAGCCGCTGGATTCTATAACGATAGTATTTGGAAGCTTTAAGCCTACTTGAAAATAAATCTATAAAAATATATAATAAAAACTTGTATCGAAATACGTTTCGGGAACAATTTATTTGATGGTGTGCAAATTTGAAGTCTGTTTTTAATAGTTGTATGCGGCTCAAAAAATATTGAATGGGGTAAAAATAAGTTTTATGGAGTCCGCTCAGCAAGAATTAATTCATCTACCAGCACATAAGAAATTTTGAGTCCACATCCTGGAGGTAAGAGTAGGATCTTACGTGAGATCAGACGGCCATGCCACACATCTTCCTTATAAATAAGGAAAATGTGTGACATTGACGTCAGGGTACAGGAAAATTGCACCATTCCTGTCAATGTTGAACTATTCATGAATTTTCCGGATAAGCCAGTGCCCCGTTTTTAATGAGACTCTGAATGCCTCTCTTCGAATATAAAAAATTGGATGTTTGCCTTGTTTCCTTCACAGTCGAATCCCTCACCAAGACGGAAGGCGAGCTCATAAAAACATGCAATGAACCTTGAAAATTGCCCAGAGTAATTATCGAAGCGTATTGAGCAGCGTGGTGGACATCGCCGTGGCAGCGATGCGCGCGACACAATGGGACCATGCAGTGGCGTATTTAGACTGAAGGGTCGGGGGGGGGGGGGGGGGGGGGGGGGGGGGATGCTCGACTGTGCCAGTGTCGAGTAACGNGGCGGGGGGGGGGGGGGGGGGGGGGCAGGCAACAGAGTGGAGGCGTCAAACCCCTCCCAAACCATATCAGGTGGGGAAACTACAACCTCCAAGGGGTGCCAGGCTTTGTCCCAGGGCCATCAGGGGGACCTCCCCCCCCTGTCCCCCATAAAATACGTCTCTGGGACCATGCATCAAGTGTCTTCCATCGTTCGGTTCGGTAGTACCTTGAAATATCAGGTAGATGTCCAGTGTGTCTACATTAGGATCTCAAGTAGCACAACCCTGGTGGGCCTCGCGCTATGAAACTGGCGGCCTTAGACCATTCATGTCACACTTGTCACCAGAGGAACACGAAGTTTTTAACCAAAAATGAAACAATTCTGGATGTTTCACAACCAAAGCCACCAAATTGAAACTTCCCAGGATGATAGTAGAAAAGTGTACGTGATTTCAGGGTCACTTGTTCATTTTGAGCTAGATCAACTTAAAACCACCAACAATAATATATTCCCTCTTTCGTTGAATTTGACCCAGTTTCTTCCAGGAATGCCACTGATTCGGTTTTCTTTTCTATCATTCGCAACTGCGTGATGGCTGAGCGCTTCGACGAAAGTGATTAAGCTGCCGCACGAAAATCTATAAGATATAAAGGTTGTTTCATGGATTGGGTTCGGTCAGACCAGAATTCTTTCGCGTCCCACATCTATAGACGGGAGTACTGTCTGTACTCCCTCTCAAATGCACCCGGCCTTGTCCCCGGGATATTTCTTACTGCTGCTGATACCGGCTTCACCATACTGTCTCGGCGTGGATGTTTGTGCCTACACAGATGCCTTTACCCCAGACATCGGAGGATGCGGTGCGAGGAGGGAGAATAGAGAGTCGGCCTTGAATAGCCGATCCAACGGGATATCGGGAAGTAATGTAGTGTTTGGCGCGCCAAAAATAAGTCCTTTAGACACTAAGAATATTGGTTATTGTCCGCATTAATGTGGATAGGCCTGAACCATAGATTCCATACATACTCTGTATAAATAGATTGAACGGTCTTGGGAGTGGACCCTGCCACTTTTTATTAACATTTGAAATCATCCCATTCGGCATAATATTTTGTCAACATTGACGTATCAGACTCCTTGGCTGGACATCAGCTCTGTCATTCAAAGTCCCTATATGATTCTGATCGGTTAAGTAAATTACAGTTACAACCTCACGTGGAATCAACAGCAGGATCGTTTTTTATTAGCTATGTAACCTTCAAGCTTACATAGCTAATAATAGCTTTTTATTAGCTTTCAAAGGTAAACAGAAGATTCTAATAATATGAGGTCATAATTATATCAGCGCATCTTCAATATCAGGGAAAGGAGGAGACCATGCCATGGCGCTGACAATTCATCGAGACAACGTTATTCATGAGCATATTTTCGATGTTGAACTGTGTGTTTTATTTCAGCAATGCATTTCAACATTGAATCAACCTTTCACGTAACGTTATGACTACATTTCAAGCTTTCAAAAATCAATCCTCACTCAACGGTGACACGGCATTGAGTCGAATGGGGTGATTTTGTAGTTGGAAGCTGCTTTCGCACATATTTCCCATGCACCTCATTTCCTGCCAACTTCTTTTAAAGATGTAAAGCGCACGCGTTTGACGTCTTCTAGGCTACTTGAACGCCTCTTCCAGCAGAGCAGAGCAAATGCCCTCCCATCAGTCTGGGCCACATGTGCAAACATGGCTTCCCCGGGTGAAATGCTCCGTTCGGTTCCTTGGCGCCTCCTGTTGGGTTTTGTGATCTTTGTTCTTGTGTTCTCTTCTCTGGTCCCTATCGTGCAAAGTCACTCCCATGATGATATTCACATGCACGAACACGAGCCTCCTAGTTACAAGTATTCCAAGGAAGCCAACGTGCCTCATGTACACTCTGAAGGAGAGCGGAAGAAAGGATCTCCCGCAACAGGAAGTCATTCACATCACGGAGAACACCATCCACATCACCATGGAGAACATCATTCACATCACCATGAAGAACATCCACATCACCATGAAGAACATCATCCACATCACCATGAAGAACATCATCCACATCACCATGAAGAACATCATCCACATCACCATGAAGAACATCATTCACATCACCATGAAGAACATCATTCACATAATTCCCACCGCCCCAAGGTGATGAGCCAGCGACCCAGTGGAAGTATGCTGTGGTTACAGGCCATTGGATCTACACTTGTTATCAGCATAGCCCCATTTTTCATTCTATTCTTCATTCCACTTGATAATACCAAAAGCAGTGAGCCTTTGTTGAAAATATTACTCAGCTTTGCTTCAGGAGGATTGCTTGGGGATGCCTTCTTGCATCTGATTCCCCATGCTCTGATGCACAAGGCTGAGACAGATAGCTCACACCATCATGAAGATGGACATCACCATTTCCACAGTCATGGTCATACTCATGCCCATGATGAGTCTGCTCATGGTGATCATCATCATGTACATGACATGAGTGTTGGATTGTGGGTTCTTGCTGGCATATTGGCTTTTCTCATGGTTGAGAAGTTTGTAAGGATTATGAAAGAGAAGACTCCAGGCAGCCACCACCATCACCACCACCACCACATTGAACCCAAAGCAAAAGAAAGAGAAGCTTCAAGTAGAGATTCTTCTCCATCTGCAGCCAAGGACCAGCACAAAGGTCAAGGAGATGAGAAAAAGAATGAAAATCAAGATTCTGAGAAGGAAGAGGAACAACCAAAGGAGGAAAAGATAGAGGAAGAGCCAAAGGAGGAAAAGGAAGAAGTATCTAATCCTCCAAGTAAGGCCTCAACAAGTGAATAAGGCCTAGCTTACTTGATTTTGCAATTGATAGAGCATATTCTCTCTACTGCCCCACAAGCCTTGCTGTTGAAGCTTTATATACATTTGCCTAACTTGGCCAGTGAACTATATCACTAGGTAGGATGATATAATAATGACTATTCTTTTCTCCTAGGCCCAAGTTCAGAAGATATCAAAGTGGCAGGATACCTGAACCTAGCTGCAGACTTCACTCATAACTTCACAGATGGGCTTGCTATTGGAGCTTCATTTCTTGCTGGACAAAGCATTGGAATAGTCACAACTATAACTGTCCTGTTGCATGAAATACCTCATGAAATAGGAGACTTTGCAATTCTCATTCAATCAGGTTGTAGTAGATACAAGGTGAGCCTGCATCTTATAAGTCTTTCAATATTCCTGCTGTTGTGTAAGGTGCAAGTTTTGTAAATTTCAGTGAAGTTGAGCAGAAAAAGAAGCAATTGCTAAAAGTATTGGACATAGTATTGTCAAATTCCAGCAATTTTTATTCACTACTTACCTGTTCTTGAAATTTCTGTTGTAAAAATTTACTGCTCATAATTTCCATGAAACAAAGAAGGGAGCAGAATGTCATTGGCAAAATGTATCTTGGATAGAAAAGATGGCATGAATATAAAGGGGGGAGGGTTGTTTTGCCACAACCCAAGAAAAATGGCATAATTTCCTACATAAAAGAGCTTGCAATTTGACCTCTTCCATGATCCAATCATGCTTAACTTACCTTTATTACATCAGATGCTGGAATTGATCCCCGTCAATCTTTATACACAATAGAACACAATGCTGCTTTTAATGTTCTCCTTTAGCTGCAGAATGGTGTGAGGATTGCTGCAGTAAAAAGTATCCTTCAGGTAGTAGATGATTTGATTTTTAGATTTTTGATAAGTTCATCTAGTTTGAAAACAATGAACTCACCCAGGGTTACTTCAAGAGGGTGCCAGATGAAGTAAGTGACACTCTTTTTTACGGTTGTTCATTCTGCTGATTTTTTCCAGGCTATGCTGTTGCAATTAGTAACTGCTATAGGAGCACTGGCAGGGACTTTTACTTCCCTCTTTGCTGAAAGCATTGGTGAGATGTTTTTCTGTAATTCTATGATTCTCAATAGATGCACTGTCTCAGCTCTAATATTTATTTTTCATTTTCCTTTGGCATCATCTAGATTGATTTTTTAAATACAAATTTGTTCTTCATTTTTTTTAAGATTGAGCATAATATGCTATAGACATCTATGAGAAATTAGATTATTTCATCTACAAAACAGAAAAGAGACCACTGCCTGCTTGGTACCCCTAAGTAAGCTTTACATTAGTGTTTTATATTCAAAAGTAAAAGCCTACCGCTTGAGCACAGGTTAGATCCACTAAGGAATGATTTGCTTATTATTTGCTTAATTAACTGTTTCTTATGCATCTCTTACAGGTAATGCAGCCCCAGCCTGGATTCTACCCTTCACTGCAGGTGGTTTTATCTATATTGCCACTGTGTCTGTGATCCCTGAGCTATTGGAGGACACCAAGTTATCCCAATCAATCAAGGAGATAGCAGCTCTTCTGGTAGGGGTATACATGATGGTTCTTATAGCTGAATATGAATGAGAACTGTGAAAATCTTATGGTCAAGTATGTCAAATCAATTTGTTTTATAGTTCTCTGGTTTTTGAATGGGCATTTAATTTAGATGCTTATGTGGTGTTCCATTTTGAAAGGACACTATTTATTTTGATACAAATGAAGTTTTATGTTGATGGATGCTTCCCTTTATGTCGGAATCTCATCCTATTTTTCATTTCATTGCTGGAGAGTACAAGTCAAGCGTTCTCTACAGAGTATGACAAAAAGATGACCAACAACATTGAGTTGCAGTATCTCAGACTGCTTTGATTAAATTTCACAAAATTTTGTTTGAATTTAGCATACCTATTTTTCAGATTTCAAAATAAGCCAAGTTCCATTGATTTATATAAAATTCAATATAAAAATGCTGGAATTCATAGTGTACAACTCTTCCAATGAGAGCCTGCAGGAGTACTAACACTGGGAAAGTTAAAACTTGATGGCATCTGAAATGCTTCACCACCTGCAGAAGCTAATTTGTTCTGATACAGTCATTTTTTAGTCATGAAAATTTGTATTGATTTGAGAGGTTTACATTTTTAGCTTACAATATCTTGTACTCCTCTTTCTAAATTTTAAAGATCATCTGAAAGTTTCAAGCTTTCTTTGTTAAGTTTCTAAGCAATTAGATTTGAAATAACTGAATTCTTAGAAACATTTTAAAACTTGAGAAGATGGAATACAAGCTTTGATCTCTCCAAATTTAGTGAGATTTTATTAAAGCCAACTGAAGATGCAGCAACTCTTAAGTTTTTAGTCTTTTCTTTTTTTGCCATACCTTGTACATTTGAAATCTCTGGGTTCCCAAGAACTGTTGTTTGTTGATGTGAGAGTTTACCAAGATGGAAAATTGAGCCAACTTGTGATCTGTACATGTCTTGCCCAGAGCAGGATTTGATACCATCTGCATCTTTGTTTCAAAATATTTTGCTTACTTGCAAACAGAGGAAATCCAAAGGATGTGCCAAAACACGGCCAGGTTGTGGCTCCAAGAATTCCCTGAATGTTATTAATTATAAGCAGCCTCCCTGCTTTACTGCTCAAGACTAAATTTCATGAGTTTATAGAGGCCTTAACTGGAGCAACCTGCAGGCACTGAATCGATCACTGGCAATATGTAACATGGGATGTTTCCTTATTTTTCTGCTTCATCATTCCAACTGTGTATCAGGTTTCTTCACCATAGATTCCTCATGAAGTGATACTCTTCCTTTTTTCACCTGATTTTCCAATGGATGATGTGTGGATGTATTTTCACTGGGGAATTTGGTTCATGGAAAAAGCTGCTTCAAGTGTTAACTTTTCCCACTGCTGGATCAATCAAAATTGTCCATTTATTGATACTGAATGCTCTTGGTGATTTCAAAATATATAAAGAGAATATTTGTTTTGTTTTTGTGAAACTGAATTATGTATGCAGAGACAGATCATGGTGGAAGATGCTGCCATGGTAGCAGAGGCCATACATATGATCCTCAATGCCAAATAAAAACTGGAGTTTGTAGAGCATTTCCACTGCAAGATTCTTGATGACCCAGAGATCGCCTGTATGGGCCATTCCTAAATCTGGATCAAATGGAGTCAGATCGCCTTTTTCTTGGTCCTATGCAATTGGAGGTGGAACATGTTGCAGTTTTCATGCAAAGACAAGCTACTCGAGCTGGGTTTCCCTGGACGTGGGCTTCTCGTATTCCTTGTCCCACCGGTCATCGGTGGGACAAGGACACCGATGATTCAGTGCCCGAGTTCCAGCGCACAGATCTCTGCAAAGGTGCAGGGTGACTTGAATAAACCTCAGTCGTTGACGCGAATAATCAGTGGCATATTTTTGCTGAAGCGTCAGGGGGGGGGGGCCCATACCCCACCCGTGCGATACCAGGGGAGTAATTTATTACCTCCTTGGAGGCGCAAGGAGCAGCCGCCCTCGTAGAATACACCGCTGTAAATAGCGCATCATGACGCAATAGAAGTCTTCCTGATTTAAGTCGAAGGACCAAAAACAGCCCGGAAAGCGAATATTTTATCTCTTGCTTCGATCCACACCGAGTCTGAGAAGTATTCCAAAGAATATTGGTTCCTTTGCTGCTCAGTCAGGACGTTAATTGACACATCTAACCTGAGAAGGCCATGTGGGAACACCGAAGTAGAGGTGTGCGCGTGAGTGATTTTTGACTCACGATCACGAGAGGAAAACCGAGTCGTCACTTACTTTCACGCAAACTCGAGATTCAATATTACTTGAGAATCAAGAACACGCACGATCATTGCAAGCGTGAATTAAACTCACGCAAAATCATGCGTGATCCCGCGTGATAGTCACCGCTTCGTTTTTCGTTGAAAATAATTCCAATTATTTGTTTCGATATTGTATATAAATAGTAAAATGAACAAGTAAGTGTGGCACTCGAGTACGATTAGAGCTGTTTCTGAAAAGCAAAGAGAAATAACTTGCTGAAATAGTTCCATCCTTATAAAAGCTAGAACTACTATCCTATTTTAAGCCCCTATTTTCTAAGTCCTAAATACCTATTCCACAAGAACGCAGAGCTGGATGCGAGTGATACAAGGCCATGCCACAGCTGAACTGAGGAAATTAAGTCTTGGACAACGAATGAAAGGGAAATAGAGCAACTTTTGGTATATATATATATATTTTTTTTTTTTTTTTTTTTTTTCTCCAGGAAAAGCTTGCATGAGAATATGGAACTTTCGACGTTCCCACGGGTTCGATCTTCGATCCTTTTTGAAGGATATTAGAAATCTGGCAGTCTATTTTTTAAAAAAAGGAGAGAAATTAGACAAAAATACTCACGATCACGCGCGAGTGAATTCTGTTCTCTTCACGGTCACGATAAAGACATTCTCCGAACCTCTGTTCGAGTAACGACTCACGGAAAAGGTCGTGAGTCCCGCGTGAATCACGCGTGAAGCGGGACTCACGCACACCTCTACACCGAAGTTCTGGATCCCTGATCCTTTCCTCCCACAGCTGTTTTCCTAAGAGTAGTTTACGTAAGACTATTGCTCTCCAAAAGTCTTCCAACACTTTTTCGCGATCAAAATTCTCGGCACTTACATATGACGTCACGATTATAGGGGGAAGAGCCTCCCCCTGCCTTTTTGACGTCACGGTCATCGTACACTTTCAATCCTCACGTTTAGCGGTCGCCAGTAGTCTGGTTTTGGGTGCTGCGGCGACACTCACAACTTATTGCCTCGATACTCTCGTCCGAATGACATCAAACGCACCCCGGTACGAATTCTGTTTGGTCCCTCTCGCTGGTTACATAAAAAGTTGGTTGCACAAGCCCCCACTTTCCTGTCTGTGGGTACATGTCTCTGAGAGAGTATTGGGGTGTAGTGAACCGCCACTGTGAAACCTACCAATGTGAGGCAGCTTTTCCTTTTTCTCGAATTATTATTTTTTTTAGCGCCAGTCCTCGCATACTGAGATCTGATATTGGGGGCCGTTCACAAATTACGTAACGTGATTCTTTTTTAGTTTTTTTGACCCCCTCCCCCCTGTAACAAAGCTTCGACACCCCCAAAAAATTACGTGACAAAATATTACTCCCCCCTCCTTCATAATTTTTAAAATAAGATAAATAAACAAGTAAAATACTTTGAAAAGAAACTCCTTTATTAAACACTTATGACTAACACTCTGGGTTACACACATTGAGAGATGATTAAAATGTTTTTAAAAAGGAAAGGAAAAGTATTTTCTTTCATTCGGTTCGTTCTTCAAAGAAATAATTTTCCTTCGTCTTTTCATTTTGATTGACGGTGATCACCCATTTGAGATTTTAAAAAAGAGTAAAAGGAGGCGGGGAAATGTAGGGTGGAATGGTGGAAATAGAGATCGCGATGCCGAGAGAGAGACGAACGAGGGCAACGTCCAAAGGGTAACTGAGCTTGTTTGGCTTGTCTGGTCAGGTCCAGGCATGAAACTGCGACTAAGCGAGTTTTGCAACAGGGGAGAGGGAAGTCAACAGACGTTCCCACTCTCCCAATGCCCACTCCACTGTTAGTAAGGATGGTGGGAGCGGGTGAGTAATTGGTTGGCTCTTGTGTCGAGTGAGTGATTTGTTACTAGCCCTTCTAATAAGAAATTCCAGTAGCATAATTATTTATTTTTTTTATGAAAAAAACCTGTTGTTACGTGCCATTCGTGCAATCCCCCCTCCCCCCCCCCCGTAACAAATCGTAACACTTTGTCTGATCTCCCCCTTCTCCCCTAACGTTACGTAATTACGGAACGGCCCCTTGATTGTAATACCGTCTCCCATATACTTCCCTATTGCTATAATATGTTTAATGTCGGCTATTCGATGGAGTTGCTGTTATGCTTTCTAAAACTCTCGAAAGTGTATTATCCACCGTATTGTTTGGTAACATTTTGGCTGTTGTATTGCATGCAGTGAACATGAAGTGGGGTGACAAAGAGAATCACAGCAGTGAGTGCTCTGCACAAAGTGGGTCAGAAACCTGCAACCATTTTCAAGACTTTGCAGGCACTTGAAATCAGTGGCAGTTTGTTTACCGAGCTATCAAACGTTACAATGATACTCAGGGAGTAGGAGACCGCCCTATATCTGGATGTCCACGCACTGCCAGAAAACCACGAGCCATCAAAGCAGTTAGCAACAGGAGTCAGCGAAATCCTCTCCGCGAGCAGAAAGTGATGGCCAGGGAAATGGCCATCTCGACTAGAAGCATGTCTAGGTTGATTAAATCAGACCTAAGGATGGGTGCTTACCGAAGAAACACTGGACACATGCTGGCTCCATCTCTGAATTGAAATCAGGAGGTCGCGATCGAAAGTGTTGCTGCAGTGGTACGTGCGAAACAGACACCACAAAATCCTCTTTACTGATGAGAAAATCTTCACAATTGAAGAAAAATTCAACCGGCAAATTGGCCAAGTGTATGCCCACAACTCTCGGGAAGCTGCCGAAGTCATCCATAAGGTGGAGAGATGTCACCATCCTGCTTCCGTCATGGTTTTGTGGGGGGTGAGCTATGAGGGTGTTACCAAGCTGCATTTTTGCGAGCAAGGAGTGAAGACATCGGCCAAAGTGTACCAGGAAGACGTCTTAGAGAAGACTGTGAAGCCTCTCAGCCAAACAATGTTCAATGGGGCAACTGGATCTTCCAGCAAGACTCTGCACCTGCTCATGAGGCTAAGACAACGCAGGAGTGGCAAACCAACAATGTCCCCGAGTTCATCAGGGCCTCAGATTGGCCATCTGGGAGCCCCGACTTGAACCCACTGGACTACAAACTGGGCAGAGTTGGAGCTGATGGCCTGCCACAGAAGACATCAAGATATTGAAAGTCTCAAGCAAGCCCTTGCAAAATCAGCAGCCAATATCTCAATGGCCGTAGTGCGTACTGCGATCGATGAGTGACCTGATCGTTTAAAGTCATGTGTGAAGGCCAGGGGTGGACATTTTGAATAATGTTTCTGTAATCTGTTAGTAATTATTTAGGGAAATAAATGCTGTCAGCGAATACAGCGTATGTTTTATATTAACAGAGTTATTACAAGAAAAACTTGTAACAGTATTTATGGCAGGACTAGGTAGATCTTTTTCGAAATTCCCGATAGAGCGAAGGAAAGTTAGAAGTGGAAAGGGTGTGGCTGAAAGGGTGTCAGATGACTGTACCCACAGCTTAAATCCATCCCACAACCACCACAGATGCACATTCCATTAGCTGGAGAGAGCTCGCGCACATATAACTGAAAGGCATTCAGTGCAACGTGTACACGTGAAGGTGGATGTGACGATGCGCTGGGGAGCTAACCTCCAACCAACAACCAAAAATAAATTAAACCCTACCGAAAACCGTGCCCGAAAGATCTCTCTACTAATCCAGTCTCTGAACCATGAGAACAGGCAAAAGGAAAAATTCTGCTACACTGGTGTTCCTTACTGGGAGAGTTATAGAGGGTGTTCGTATTTAAATGCAATATACTACTAGGTTCAAAAAGTTTCGAGGCACGGGTCACCGTGACCGAACGCTGTGTTGCATACCAAAATAAATTTTGCTGAGCGTAGTTGGGGTTCCACACTACGTGCATATCAAGGGCACATGTGCTTAACTTCATGTGGCAATGACTGGGTTGCCCCACGTGCAACTCTTCGGCTGTCAGTCGGCGGACTGCATTCACTTTGCGAAGATGTCACGTTTCGAAAAGCGGGGTAATGTGACATTTTGCCAGAGACTGTGTAAAACGGCTGCAGAGACCTTTGGAATGCTGAGACAGGCGTATGAGAAGACAATCTCACGTCCTCGAGTGTTTCAATGGCATCGACGATTCGAGAAGTCCTTATCAGGAAGGACCATCACCTTCTCAGTGAGGAAGGTGATGCTGGAGGTGTTCGTCGATCACGAAGGTATTGTCCATCGTGAGTTCATTCCGGAGGGAAGAACGGTGAATAAAGAGATGTACGGAGATGTACTGCTGCGTCTCCGAGAAGCAATCCGGAGGAAACGACCATCGATGTGGGCAAGAATTGGATCCACCTTCACGACAACGCACTAGCGCACAGATCGCTAATGGTGAGCCGTTACTTGACAGACACTGGCAGAGTCTTACTACCACATACCCCCTACTCCCCGGACGTTTCACCATACGACTTTCATCTTTTCCCAAGAATGAAGAAGCGCCTGAAGAGACGTCGTTTTTCCTCCGGAGTAGAGGTGGAGGAAGCTACGGTGGCGGCACTGAACGGGGTCGCTAAAAATGGGTTCCAGTTCTGTTTCGAGGAACTTTACAAACGTTGGCAAAGGGTACAGAAAGCCAGGGCCATTACTTTGAAGGTGACAGCAACAGTGCCGTAACGCTTACCGTTTGCGTGCAATAAACCCAGTCTCGAAACTTTTTGAACCTATCTTGTATTTCTATGTTGTTCATGTTCATGTTCCTGCATGTGGAGTTGATGAACCGCGACCCCATTAAGTTGAGAAAAGCGGCATTTAAAATGTAAGTATGTATGTGGAGTTCGGCTAACGCTACAAGATCAACCGGGTTGCATATCTGCAAGGAAACACATCATTGAATGTTTTTATCCTTACAGATGTGCAACCCAATGAGCTATAATGTACTCGCTGAACTCCACAAACAGGCGGCAACATTTTTCCTATGTTGCATGTAAATACGAACACCCTGTGTATACTGTATATAAAGGGGTACGCTGCAATCCGAGCCTGCATGTTCATCTGCACTGAAAGTTTTAGCATGATAGTGCCCCTGATGAAGATCCTGCAGAGCTTTCAGTACTTAATAGGCTCACTTCGCTTTCACTTCCTTTTGAGTTGATGTTTTCCTGTTTAGATAACAGTTTTTGGCATTCAACGCTTGCCTGATTGAGTTGCATGCATATTTTTCGCATCTCGTATATATATTTTTACTGGAATAGTGTATTAGGCGCGAACATACTTTTTGATCAAGTCTTTATAGGTTTAACCCTTCTCCATATCGCCATGTCTTGTTGAATTGATCTATATTGACTGAATTTATTACATTTCAGTCAAAAGAGATCAATCAACTCAACAAGACAAGGCAGATTGTGTTTCGTTTTCAATCGTGTCTAGGTTTGATTATACTTGCTCCACGGATCATGACATCCCAACTCCTCAACAATAATGATGAAAGTTGGGAGGTCGAGAGTAAAAAATCCATGTGCCAAACTTTGATGTGTTCAATATGGTACCGCCCTTCGAGGTAATCAAGCTGATTGGTACCATATATAAGTTTAACACACGATACAGTTGCCAACAGTGGCATAGCCAGGATTTCTACAATGGGGGTGGGGGGTCAAGGGGAAAGGAGCGGGACAAGATGTTCTTTTTCTGAAGAACTTCTTGGCGGGGGGTGGAGGGGGGATGGGGGATGCTCTGTATCTGAGTTGGGAGGGGGTTAAACCACCAAACTTATTCTCTTTTTTTTGGGGGGGGGGGGGTTTCAGCCCCCCCCTCCCCTAGCTACGCCACTGGCGATTGCCTAATGACAAGCGATTCTAGTAGTGATGAAGAGTAATCTTGAAGATATATATGCACAATAGAATAACGGACTTTTAGATGACATGATGGTCTCAACTGCAAGGAGGCTTGCGGGTGCACGTATCACCTAGGCAACTGCCGAAAGAGAGTGATGTCCTTGAGACAACACGAAGCGAGATATGTGGCTGATACACCCCGTTAGGCGCCCACGGGTCTGAATGTTTGTCACGTTGTGTGGGCGCCCGAGGTGCTCGCAGGGTGAAAATATTCTGCATATCCAATGCAGAGTGTGTGGTAAATGTGAAATCACACAAGGCACAGGCGAAACTTATGTGAGGCTCAGGTCGCAGTCTCAGATTGTATTGTATTTTATTGTATTATTTTCTATTAAATTTAATCAATTTAGGACGATTTTCTGGTGGTCTTTCCAGATATGAGGTCAAGTGGGCCTAAACGGTTCGTTCGCACCCCAAGGGTTGGAGATAATCAGAATCTCTCACTCCCAAATAGAGAGAGATAGTAGGCCTAAACATGGATGGGGAAGAAGGGGTGAGATGCTCTTAAATAAGAAATGAAACTAAAATCACACAACAGTGTGAGACCATGCAAGAATTACAGAATCCTTCATTGTCGATATTTCTTACAGTCCTGACTTAAAAGTAGAGAAATTTGTAGTGGGACATGGAGGGATACGAATTGTTTCAGTCCTTGACACCTAATGGTAAACTGCCCTAAACATGTAAACACCAGTGGAATTGTTAGCCTATCAGACACTGCATGAACATTATATGCAAATCCATGCAGCAAGAACAAAATCTGTCTTATGTTGCATTTGGAGTTTTTGATGAAAACTACATATGAATATAGACAAGATTCATTTTGATGAGCTGGAGAAAAGGACGAGATTCTCCATTGCATGAAAATTTGAGGGAAGCATTCATTTTTGTTTACAAAACACATCACCCTAATAATATTTTTTTTGGAGCACGATCAGTTCAAGTGTTATGGTAATGTCAGGAAACATGATGGAGTTGGAATAATTCAGGAGTGGATTCATCATGGCATAATATGGTTTTTAATGATGAATGTGATATAGTTAAATTGTTGGCTTAAGTCTATGATAAAGTTAATCTGAGCCTGATATATGTCCAAATCTTGTGTAGAGTAGGCTAAAGTAGAAAGATATATGTGCTTAGCTTATGAGTAGACCTAGCCCCCAACCAAGTTAGCCTGTAATGCATATTGGTTTAACCAAAGGAAATACCACTAGAGGTAAAGCTGAGTTTGAGCTTAGCTTTTGTTTTTCTTTTCCATGGGTCTTCATTTATAATTTTCTTGGTAAAGTTTTTCCAGTTTGACTGTCTTAAGGTAGATGTTGAGAACATCTAGGAATAGTTCTAACTAGGGATAGAATCAGGCACTTGCCACCACCTTGACTGCTATAGAGTAAGGATTTATTCTCAATTAGTTCATCATGTGATAATGTATTCTTACTTCAGGACTAGGATGGGTAAAGGATGCAAATGACATTCTTCACCTTATGCATTTGTTGCAGAAGTCAGAAATATAGTACATGATGACCTGGGAAATAGAACCACATTGTCAAGATGCTGTTCATTCAGCCTCAGACACATCCACTGGGTGCATTCTCCATACTTTCCTAGTTGAAAATAAGGAAATTCATTCTGGTGAGGTGATGCAAATAATTGGCAATACACCAGAGCTTGGGAATTGGAAGCTAGATAAGGCATTACCAATGGAACTGGAATCCCAGCAAGTTGACAAGTGAGTTACACTGTGAGCTCATTTTGAGGTATAATCAAATTCAGCATTTGAACATTGCTTTATATGCTTATAGAATGATTGCTGACACCTTGGGAAAAAAGTGTAGCAGTACTACAAATTTGGTTGGACTTGCCCAATAGGATGTAGGAGACTAGTTTGTCAGCTCTGGTATTTAATTTTATAGTTGTATAATTATCCCTTGCATCAGCACATAGCTTCTTTTTTTAGTGTTACTTTCTTTGACCATTTTAAAAATAGTCACAATCACACTTTTTGCATTCATGCCAGATGTCACTTCTTTGGTGGGTTCATTTGAAGCAATGAAAGATTGAACTCCAGTTTGTTGCAATGCATGACTAGAACAATGATGTACCCCACAGAGTAACTGATCAGATTCTAATTCATTATAGGCACAACCCAAGCCAAAGCCACCTGAATGAATTGTTTCATGATACATTGCCTCTTGCAGCATATTTCCTTTGTCAGAAATGTTCTGAGTGACAACTTGACAGAAATTCAGTTTTAAATTGGCATACCCCTTCTCAAGGTGGTGGCTATTGTTGAATAGGAGCAAGTAGGACCCCACTTTCATTTTTAAAAAAAAGGAAGGGTACCTTGTTAGCTTCTAAGAAAGCACATCTCCATGACATGTGAGGCTTCAAAACACAAAAAATTGACTCAACACTGCTTGGAAAAGTAAAAAAAATGCTAACCAAAGCATGTTGATCCTTTAGGAAATGCATTGAGGAATTCCAAAATGTCAGAAGTTCACCATGTAGAGACTAAATCAGTGCCTCACATTGCAATAACAAACTTGTGAAAATTATGCATTTGCTAGTCAACAGGAGGAACAAAAGGTATGATGCTGGAGGACATTCCAATAACTACTTACTATATCCACCCCACATCAGGGAGGATATGGTATACACTATGTGGAATGATTTGAAAAGATACATCAATCGTGCTTCCTTGCCCAGGGAAGCTGTGAAGCATATTGTTAGGGTTTCTCGATGTGGTTGGCTTAAACTTTTTTTTCACAACCCATTGAGCCAGTATGGTTACCCAGTGTAATCACTTTCATGGTGATATGATATGATATTATATCATATATCATGGGAAGGTACTTTCACTCTGGAACTTCTTAGGTTGCTTGATTGGTACTTTTTATCTGGAAATAGATATGGGAACAACTAGGATTTGATGCTACAGCTGACAGCTGACACAAAAGATGTGACCACTTTCTATAAGAAGAAAGTAATTAAAGTAATGTTTGATAAATAATTGATTATCAAATTTACTGATGAACAGAAGGTGAGTCCAATGTGAATGTATCAATAAACTTGATCTAAAAATAACTTGTGCTAATAAAACTTATAACTATTTTATTGGTTTTAGAAGAGCAGTTTGAGATTTTAATTTTTGGTTTTGTCTTGAAACCACCATGGTGGTGCTTCCTCCTGCAGACTTTCACATGGAATGAGAGGTGACACACCATGAGACACAGAATGAGTGTTGCAGCAGAATGGTCCATTCCACACCTTATAAACCACTTATTTAAGTCATTTGTGAGGAAAATAATCACTCTCATCTTTATGAGGTCCTGTTTATGAGAACTTTAAGGAATGATGGACCTCATTCTTTCTCCTTCATAAAAAGTAACCTCTTGGAAGACATCCATTGCCACTTTCTTATGTCAAAGTGTTTAGGTTGTACTAACAATTATAAGCACTTTTGTCCAGCTCTTCCTATATATCTGGGCATATGATTTCTGGTTGAAAAGTCCCATCCCCTTATTTATCCCAGAAAGTCTTTTTGTGCCTGAATAATACAAGTACCAGAATAACAAGATGCAACCAAAAATGCATATTTGCATTTTTTGGATCAATGATACCATGATCATTGAAGTGATCCATATGTTCACATGAATGTATCAGGGTTTTATTTTCTTGAATGAATGTAAAGATGTGACCTTTTACCTTAAAGACCTTTTTGTGACCCTTTTGTGACCTTTTACCTTATGTGACCTTAAAGATGTGACCTTAGGACTTTTGTCCTAAGGAAAGTAATCAATCTGCCACCCATAACATTTTGTTCCCTTTGAAGATATTCATGCTACAGGTCAGTTTTCTCACTCCTTGAGGATCATATAGTATGGCATATACTGGAATAGAGTCATGTGTATTCAAATTTAAGAGAAGGGAAGGCAGTAATTGAAGCCATCTTCATGAACAAATATGAGGGGAGTCTTTTATTTAGTCCCAATTGTAGGAAAGTGAGTTAAAACTGCCCAAAGAAAATGATAGTCATCAAGTTTAACTTTGAAATAAGAAAATGAGGAATTAAAAAACTCTGCACAGTACTTTCTTGCATGCAGACTTTATGCTGTTATTATTCACATATGTGACTTTTTTTGTTGCTTTTTTTGGTATCAGAGATTGGTGATATTGTGATATCAATCATAATATGATCACTGATAATTTCTTCAAAATCCAACTTGTGCAATCCTAGCCTCCATGTTATTGTATGCTGTAGCCAGCCACACCTACACAAAAAAATGACAGGATCAGTTGGGTTTGACACTTTGTGTCTTGAATTTGACAGGTTTTCAGTTAATTATTAAATCACTGCATGAAGGTGACATTTAGACTCAAATTGCATTGAACTTCTGCAATTCATGTGTCAAATGCTGAATTCTGTAAAACATACTGGTCTTTTGTAAATTTCAGGGAGGTTTGGAAGGTGACTGTGTCATTGCCAAAACATACAGAAGTTTACTACAGGTACCTCTTGATTGCATCTCTTGATCGGCCTATTGTGAAGGATGATGGTAAACCCATAAAAGTAGTCAGGCACTGGGAAACTTACGTTGATCCTCGATGCATCACCACCACAGGTGAGCCAGAAGCAGTATATATTTTAATGCATGGTCAGTTTGGCATTTAAAAGACTAATCCCCTCCATGAAGGACCTTTAGCACTCATGTACTATGGTCACTATGAAAATTTGCAGCTGTTTCTTCATTAATGATGGTTTCAGTTAGAAATTTTACTGTTTCTCAAAGTAAGTACCATGAGCATCTTTGTATATTTTCAGTAATAAAAGCCAATAGTTAATGTAATTGCACAAATGCTCAAGTTTAACCTGAGTCTCCCAGTAAGCAACTACAGTCTCTTTACACCTCATTCAGCTACTGCTAAGTATTTATTTGCACTTCTGAAGAAATAAGAAATAATAAAGGACCATATTTTGTGAAAATGAGATGTGACCATGTTCAAACCAGTGTAGATTTTTAGTCAGCAGATTTCAGTTTAAGTATCATCTCAGTCCTATTGACTAGGGTAGAGTAGCCATTTTACTGCATTTTTATTACTGGGTTAATTGCAAATTTTTTAATTCACCAATATGTGTCCGCTATCCAGTTTAATTTGTTTTCAACATTTTGTCATGGGTTCGAATTTTTATCCTGTCATCATAGTTGATGGAAATGAAAAACCTATTGCTGATGAAGATTTTCAGTGCAATGCACTTTTGTTCAGACAGACATTAATTGGCTAAGAAATATAAATTTTCATGTACACCAGAGAATTTTCATGGTACAACAGTCCTTGAATTCCTGGATTAGAATGCTGCTGATGAACAGTTTCAAAGATCATAGGCAGACTATCATCTGCCATTTCACTTACACATGGGGAATCTTCAAGGGGAATGGCAGCAACATGGCCAACCTTCATTTACTTTCCAATGCTGCAAGGCTAGCTGTAGTGAGTGGTTTCATGATGGGGAAGATTGTAACTGCTTATATTTAATTTATGAATCAAATTCATAAGTCCATATTTTGTATCCAGTTATAAAGCCAAGCATGAGTTTTTAAGCTCCACTGGGGTTGAATTTTTGAAGCATGTCATTCTATCATTTCACACAGATCTCTTATTGAGAGTCTGGCAGGGTGTGGGGTATCCAATGGGAAACAGCATGATGAAGTTCTACATACATGCCTTCAAAAAATGTCGAATTTGCACAGGAATCAATGACTAGGACATTTCTATCAGTGAATTGTAATTGGTGGTCTTCAGCAGTCGTTCCATCTTCAGCAGACCAGCTCAGTGCCTTCTGAAATGGCTGCAATTGAAGGTAAACTTTGGTCAGGGTTCCTCTTCAATGGAGACTCCAGCATTTGATTTCAAGGACACATGCAGAAACTATGGAAATTGGAGAAACTTTGTCACCCAATGCTTCTACTCATGGGAACACTGAAAATCCAATCATGTTATAGTTTAGCTAGCATAACACTTCAACTAATCAAGGTACTTATTTAAAAATTACCTGCTGTCCTTCATGTGAGGTGATTGTTAGGTTTTGAAATTTTCAAGGTTGTATCATCCTGCATGAGAGATGGTTGTTAAGCTGTGAAATTATCAAAGTGTGAGCATCTCTTGGGAAATACCTTTAAAAATTTAGATTGACTGCTCATGGGATCGATGACTTTTTTACATCCCAGAACCTGTTTTCTTATGCTTCAAGACTATTTCATTTATTCTTTTTCAGACAATGGAGTGCAGAAATCAGCTCTTGACACCTTTGGCATCATTGGTGAGAATTTGTTAAATTGCCCTCAAAAATTGAGAAGGCCATGAAAAGTTATTGATATATTTTCATTTCCTGTTTACTAATTTGATTTATACATTAAGCCTTACTATTTCTCCCAGTTCGCTTGGAATAATGCAGGGTTTTCTAAAAATTACTATAGGGGAAGAGTTTATTCAAACTCTTCCCCTATAGTAATTCTATAGGGGAAGATTTGGAATATATATATATATATATATATAAGAAAAGAAAATAGGCAACATATTCAATCCAGCAAACATCAAATGCCCAAAAAACTGCCAACTAAACCAGAAGATGGTAACTTAAGAGAAGTGAAAGCGAAGTATTATATATATAGGGTGGTTAAAAAAAAAATGCTCTACCGTTTTCTATGGGAGAAACACAGTTTCATTAATGCAGAAAAAATTTTTTTTATTCGATACATCATCGATATTTGACAGTTACAAGGTAGGTGTTGAAATGCTTGCTAGCTTTATTTCAGCACCCTTGCCTAAGTCATGCAATGCTCATGTAGAGGTGCATTAAAGGCGCTTAGAGGTGGATCATTCTATCTCAAGTGAGATGATGTGCTCAACCGTCTCAGAATTAAATTAAATTTTCAGCTTTAACTTTTCAGGGGACTGTTGGATCCAGCTGATACTTGACAGAGAGGGTTCATGTGTCTAAAAGGTTTTTTTTTTTTTTCACTTCCGCAAGATGACGCTGTAATTCGATAGAGCTGTTGACCAGGTGACAGAGGGTGATAAAAAAGCTCCACCATTTTCAAAGGGAGAGAGTATGATCTGTGTATTTGTGTAAAAAATATAAGATTTATATTGAACATATAGGAAGTGTTGAAAAGATTATATTGTTTTTTTTTAAATGGACAATTCTCTGAGCCATGTATTATCCCGTTACACAGTTTACAGGTGGAGCATTGCACCTTTTTTTAAGTCACCCTCAATCATCTGGTCAGCAACAGCGCCCTCTATTGGGATACAGTGCCATCTTGTGGAAGTGAAAAAAAACACAGACTCATGAACCTCTCTGTCAAGTATCAGCTGGTTCCGATTGTCCCTTGAAAAGTTAAAGTAAAAAAGTTCATTGAATTATGAGACGATCGAGCATTGGCAATCACCTCAGTTGAGGTGAAATGATCCACCCCTAAGCACCTTTAATTCACCTCTAAATGGGCATCACATGAATTTGGCAGGGGTGCTGAAAAAAAGCTGGCAACCATTTCAGCACCTTGTAACTGTCAAATATCGATCACATATTGAATTGAATTTTTTTTGCTACATTTATGAAACTGTGTTTCTCCCATTGGAAACAGTAGAGCATTTTTTTTTAACCACCCTATATAGGGTGTTCCATATGTCCTGTTACCCCTATGTCTTTCCAGTGACATTAATTATGTTTATCATGTGATAAAATACAAGATCTGACAAATAATGAAACTGACAACACTGTAATGCATGTGGCAACACTGGGTAACTGGCGATTGCTGTAACCTGTCAGTGGATATCTTAAGTCTGTGCAGTAACAAACTTGTCATGATACTTCTAGTGATTGCAGAGCAGTACCACTTTACCTAAAGTAGTGTTAGGGGCACTCATAAAAAAAATGGGTGATAATATAATGAACAAAGAACCAACATGAAATTTCTAATCAAACTCAGGAAAAAACCAACTGAAGTCTTTGAAATGTTGAACTTTCTGGTTAAAATAAATAGTACTGTCTCTCTATTGATACACAGTTCTTTGGCAATCGTTCTGACAATAAGACGATGATCACTTCACACCAGAGTTCTCACATTTTTTATGTTTTCATCCGATTTTGAAGTTGTCGGACATCCAGGTCGTCTGTCAAACTCAACTTCTTCCCTTCCTTCAGAAAGCATTTACACCATTCAAATAAATTTTGCTCTGGACATAACCTCATCTCCATACACTTGTTTCAACATTTCAAAGACTTCAGTTGGTTTTTTCCCAAGTTTGATCAGAAATTTCACATTGATTCTTTGTTCATATTATCACCCATTTTTATGCCGAGTGCTCCTAACACTACTTTTGATAAAGTAGTACTGCTCTGCAATCACTAGAAGTATCACGACAAGTTTGTTACTGCACAGGCTTAAGACATGCACTGACAGGTTATAGCAATTGCCAGTTACCCAGTGTTGCCACATGCATTACAGTGTTGTCAGTCTCGTTATTTTATTGTCAGATCTCGTATTTTATCACATGAGAAACATGATTAATATGTCACTGGAAAGACATAGGGGTAACAGGACATATGGAACACCCTGTATAGGGTGGTTAAAAAAAAATGCTCTACCATTGACCACGTGGTTGACCCAGGGTGGTCATGTAGTGATACCATTTCATATGATCACAAAATCTGTAATTCTGAGAAGTGCACTATGTTATAAGTACAAATAAAAACATTGTCCATCACTTTCCTGAGCGTCTCTCATGAAATGGGCAACTCAGCCTCTTTGATGTTCTTAAGTGCCATTACAGTCGGTGGTTGGTTCCAGGACACATGGGACTTCAAGTAGATCCACAAGGAAAAATCTGGGTCAGACAGATCTAGTGATCTGGTTGGCAAGGCAATGTCACCTAACCAGGAAATGACATGATTGGGAAAATGTTTGAGCCATAAAATTTCCATTATCATTTTCTAAGAACATCTTCCGAGATGGAACAACTTGTCATACTGCTAAAGAAACAAAGGACATTTTGTGACATCAAAGAGACTGTGTTGCCCATTTCTCTTGAGGCCCTCAGAAAAGTGATGGACATTGTCATTATTCACTGTTGTGAGTGTGTATACCTTCATGGAGGTTGTCTTCCATGTGTAGTTTTTAAATATTAAGATTTCAGGAATATAATGGACAGTTGAATCTCCAAAATCTGGTTTGTTTTTGTTATGTACAGTCAGCTCTTACTATACCAACACTGTTGGTCTCAGCTGATTTGGTGCTATGTTGAGGGTGGTGCTAAATCGAAATGCATGGCTTTAAAATAGAGACTTTTTCTAATTTATGTAAAATATGCAAAAAATTTCACTGTAACCCTTTCGCATATGAATTTTTTGAGCAAATGAAAAATATTCCTTTTTGGGTTTAATGTTTAAGGAGGTTCTCTGCCATAGTATTCGCATGTTTCATCACTTGAAAGCAACACTGAAGAGATTATGTGCCCTTTATGACATTGATTGCATACACCAAAAGTTTCGAGGTAAGTGTACCATGGCTAAAAAACCATCATCATCGCCAATAATTTTGCTGTCCACTATAGTGGACACCATGCATGAAAGGATTAATTAATCCACACTGCCAATGGTCTGTGCCTCAGAATACACCAACTACACAGCTTTGAAAAATGATTCTATCTATTCCATCCATGATTAAATCCAATGATTTAATATTTTTAATTAGTATAACTCCTATGCACCATCTACTCACGTTATTGTCCCAAAACACTGAAAAATTGTTCATGAAGTTTTTCTAACTTTCAACCACTTGTGTCTCCTTCTAATGGCACACTTACAATTTTTCCTTCACTTGTGAAATAGTTATTTTCCCCATCACTAGATAGTGAACAAACTTGAACTGTTGCCTGGAGAAGCGACATATAATCTTAATGAGATGTTTCCATTCTCCAAAAGAAAAGACAGAATTAGGCTAGATTAAGCGACCTTATACGCCCCTCTTGAATCTCTGGAGGCCTATTCTAGTGCTAAGTCACCCCTTACTGTATTGCTATCATGCGACTGAAAGGAGCAACTGGCAGCATTGCATTTTGTATATGGTATTATGATTGTGGCTGGTAAAGTATGCTGCTTGGTGTAATATCAAGTAAGACTTATGTAGAATAAGACATGTTTGTGCAAGTAAAGTTGTAAGTGGATGGTGGCTTGCGAGGGTGGGACTATAATGGGGAAGCACCAATGGTAAGCCTATGTGGAAGACTCATTCTCAGGAAAGAGTTAGTGACGAGCAAGAGTGGCGGTATGTTGAGGGTTGACTGTAGTTCACTTTTCAATTCAGAAATACAGATTTTGTGATCTCTTGAAATAATATCACTACATAGTGATCACCCTGCATATGGGGGAGGGGGGCAGAAGCATGCAGGAGTTTGTTTATGAAAGAAACATGGTGGGATGCCTAGTGTCATCATTTGAAACTGTCAACTGGCAGAGAATCATGAAGGTGTAAGATATTTTTTCTTGTCAAAAGGATGCAGCCATATAATCATGACTAGAAAGTGTAAATCATCTTGGGAAAAAAGAAGGGGACTCTACCAGGATGCCCAATGCCATCCCAGGTTTTAGCCATAGAAAGAGATTTTAATCATGCCATTTATCCATTTAACTTTTTCTGCATAAGAGGCCAGAAGCACCTGTTCAATATTTGTAAAAATATATGAGAGGGTCCAGCACCAAATCATGTTTGCATCTGCATATTTTCTTTTGTTTTTCCTGAGAGGGGAAGCATTGGCATCAGCAGGGTGAAAATCTGCTGATTGGTAGCAGTTTTTCCAGTTTTTATCATTCCAGCAGTTTTACCATTGGATCAGTTCAGCTCTGCTCTGTTCCATCAATATATTAACCCCTTAAGTGGGTATGATGGATATTTCCACCACATTCCTTATATACTCTACAATTTATTTGTGCTGATAGCATTCAGGTACAATATAACAATATGAATGTTAACTGAAAAATTGTTCAAAATCCAAAATCAGTCTACTTTATTGGAAAAACTCTATTAGTAGTAAACCCATGAATTGTAAACTCCCAACTTAAGAGGTTAAAGCCTGTTTATACCAGAGGCTTGAAAATTGAGTAATGTTAAAAATTTGTGGTGGAAGTCTCAAAATAAACATTAAACTGATTTCCCTTGATTTCTTTTTATAGGAGGAGTGAGAATGCTGGGAAATGGTTGGCTGAGTGATCATGCTGTTGTTCATTTGAAACTGTATAATTCTCCTATTCCTCCAATAGAAGTGTGGAAACGCAAGTTTGTCAATCAAAAGGTGAGTTACTTCCTGTATAAAAATACTAGATGTCAGGATTTGTTATCACTTTTGAATTTGTTTCCCCTTTGGGTAAAAAAAAAAACTTGCAATGGTCACACCTTTGGTGTAATACCTGATCTAAGAAAATGAGTAATGCATTTTTAACATCTGTTTTTTATGTCCACACCTACCAATGTGGTAAAACTGAATTATAGGTATTTTTCATCTTGGAAATTTTGTCAAGCTTGCCTTAAAAAAATTAGAGTGGGGACTCCATTCTGTGAAGTGCTATGATTTGGAACAGATTTTGACTTGCTAGTTAATGCTATTGGAAGTGACGTCATTTTTCTTGCAGTCCAGTGAGTTTTTGCATGTGGGCACAGGAAAAATTCATTGAGCTGCAGGATAAATTATTTCAATCCCATTTGGATTAATTTTCATTTCAAAATATGCTCAGGTTTTCAAACTGTAGTTAGGAAATTATGCATAACAGGGTCAATGTAATGAAAAATCATCTCCATCTTCTTGATACTACAGGGTGTCCCAGAAACCCTGCCCCCAGTTTTGTACATTATTATGTCTTTATTTTTTTTCTCATGGAAATGAGTTTTGTATCATTCGAAAGCCTAGACCTCTTGTAACAACTGCTGTTAAACCTGACAGTTTGTGATTACTGTTTGTGGGGTTTTTTTGAAAGAGAAGGTGTATGCTTCAAAATCCCTAACATCCCTGACCTCATCAGCACCATTCACTTAGTCTTGGTCTCTGTCCAAACTGAGGGCAGGGTGTTTGGGATGCAGGGATTAAAGCAGGGTTTCAATCTTTTTGCCACTGAAATTAGTTCCCATTCTGATCATGACACACATGGCATCATTGGGAAAGTCATCCACTGCTTTCTGGCACATGTCCAAGCTTATGGCATTCAGTTTGGTTGAAATGGTGCTGATGAGATCTGGGATGTTAGGGGTTTTGTAGCATACACCTTCTCTTTCAAAAAACCCCACAACCAATAATCACAAACTATCAGGTTTAACAGCAGTTGTTAAGAAGGATCTAGGCTTTTGAATGATACAAAACTCATTTCCATCAGAAAAAAATAAAGACATAATAATGTACAAAACTTGGGGTGGGGTTTCTGGGACATCCTGTATATGATTTGGAATGAAGTATCTACTGCAGATTGCAGCCATTTGAGCATGGTGTTGATGCCTTATCACTGTTCTCCAGTTGGCATGATTCTGGGATATATTACTAACTATTAGGCTGTTCCAAAATAAATGTCCGAATTCGATCGCAAACTTTGAAGGGTCGTAACTCAGCTGATAATGAACATTTTAAATCGAAGTAAGCGCCATCCGCTTCAACACACTTCTGCCAACGAGATACAAGCTTGTTGATCCCAGTCGAGTAGAAATCCTGGGTTCTGGAGGCGATGAAATCCTTAAAGGCATCTTCGGCAGGGGTCTGATCATGGAAGTGTTTCTCCTTGACGAAGTGATCCAGGTGTTTGAAAAAGTGGTAATCCGTAGGTGATATGTCTGGGGAGTATGGTGGATGAGGCAGAGTTTCGTAGCCCAGCTGATTCAGTTTGCGTACGGTGAGATGTGCGACATGCGGTCGGGCGTTGTCGTGCAGCAGAATCGGCCCCCTTCGGTTGACCAATGCAGGCTGAAGTTTGCGAAGTTTCTCGTGCATCGTGTCCAGTTCGTCACAGTACTTCTCCGCTGTGATTGTTTCACCAGGTTTCAGAAAGTGGTAGTGCACCACTCCTGTTGAAGTCCACCATACAGTGACCATAGTCTTCTTCGGGTGAGCGCTTGGCTTTGGGAAGTGCTTGGGAGGCTCATCTCGGTCCAGCCACTGCGCCGATCGTTTACGATTGTCGTACAGGAGCCACTTTTCGTCGCACGTAACAATACGGTCGAGAAAAGGGTCGTTTGTGTTGCGTAGAAGCAATGCGGAGCTGATCTCGTATCGGCGAGTGCGATTACTCGCGGTGAGTTCGTGCGGAACCCATTTGTCCATCTTCTTCGTCTTTCCAATGTCGTTCAGATGACGGGAAACGGTTGCGATGCCAACAGACAATTCTTCCGCAAGCTCTCGGACCGTTACATGGGGATCACGTTCCACCATAGTCTTCAGAACGGCGTCGTCAAGAGACTCTTTCCGACCTCTACCTTCCTGTTCTTCGAGAGTCTCATCTCCGTTACGAAACTTTTCGAACCAGCGTCGAATGGTGCGATCCGTGACCGATCCTTGGCCGAACGCAGTGTTGATTTTATTCGCCGTTTCGGCAGCATTAGTTCCAAGTTTGAACTCGTAAAGAAAAATCGGACGAAAGTTGCGTTTCTCCATCGTTCGCTTTGGCAGCTACAGGAACGTTAGGCTAAAGATAAATAAAAAGCAACTAAGTGGCTTACATAGAGAAAGGTTTGCTGAAAAAAACGGTATATAACAATAACTGGTTATCGCAAAATTGACAGGTATAATGATAGACAAAACATTACACTTCGAAAATCGGACATTTATTTCGGAACAACCTAATAGCTGAAGTACCCCCGGCATTGCCTTGGGAATTTCAATATTTCATGCATGACAAATTGGGGAACGTTAGCCTTATGATTTCCTATAGGTTACCAATCTTAGGTGTCACAAAATGCACTCGGACCCCTTTCCCTTTTTTACTTTTTTATTACTACTTTGAATAATTATTTTGGAATTAAAAAACTTCTTGGTGAAATGTTTTTATTGTTTTGAAACATTTTAGATGAAAACTTGATCAGAAGAATATTACTTACTATCTACTGTAGTGATCCAGCAATGGGATCACCCCAGGGTACTGTAATGCAGGTAACCCTGAGGGTAGAGTTGAATGGCATGAGAGGACGAAAAAAAGCAGGGGATGGCAGGGAATCGAACCCGGGCCTCCTGATCGCCATTCAGGTGTGCTACCACTGTACCACTGAATCCAGGAATCAGTTGTTCCTCTCGATGCCATCCCATACACTACAGTACCCTGGAAAAGTACCCTGGAAGTGAACATTTTGGATCAAAACATAGCCCTTGACCTTCCCCTGGATGAAAGAGGAGGCCATGCAAAGTTTGGTTGCACTGGCTCCTGTGGGGTCTGAATGCATAAAGGAACAGACAGGCAGACAAACTTTCTTTTATATATATATAATATAGATACAAAGAGCTTAATGCTGAGAACTAAGGACTATTGTCATATTTTGCAGTACAGGGTGAAAGTGACCCCAGTGGATTTGGAGAAGGGACGGGATGAAACCACCTTTTCACTTGAGGAAAGCACTGAAGAAGAACAAGATCACATTCATTGGCCAATTGTGGAGGTTTCTGTAAGATTATCCATTGTCCATATGCACATAGACAAGAACTGTAGTTGTTACCTATGATGATTTAATGGGCATGAGTACTTTACCCAGATTAAATTGGTTGAGGCAGTGAAACCAGTATCCTGTGAATCTGTATGATATGGGGGAGAGAAGACCTACAGCTATTAAACAATATAAAAGTCTCCTCTTACTGGAGATTAAAAAAGAAAGAAAATTGCACATTAAATTACTGATATGTGTCTTATCAGACTTCTGATGTTCATCCAAAATTTTCCTTGAAAGTAAGGATATAATCATAAGAAATCAGAAATTCAAAATGGACTGGGGACCCCAGTCCCTTCTTCTAACTGATTGCTTGCCTTGTCCTTCAACATATTTATAGGGAAGACCATTGCAAAAGTGGACCAGTTTGAAATATGAAGTACAGTAATCCCTCGCCAACCGCAGTTTTGAGTATCCAAAATGTATACCGTTTTACCTACAGTGGTATGAGGTTTTGAGTATCTGTGGTTTCAGGCGCATACTCATTATTTTTTACTGCAATAGTTTTTCTTAAATCTGAATAACCTTGATGTATTTTAACAGAAGAACATCTATACTTACTATTTATGAATTTTTTTCAATGTGCTACCAGAGGGTCTGCTGAAGGGGTATTAAAATTGAGATGAGTGCTGTGAGGAATTTTTAGAGGAGGGTCAGTAGGCCTCTATCCTCTCAGTCTTGAAAGATCTGCTGCTAGGTCGGGTCCTTAGAGGTTAGGAAATTCCTCATGGCATTCACCTCAATTTTAATACCGCCTTCAGCAGACCCCTTGGTAGCAAATTGAAAGAAATTCATAGAAGCTATCCTTAATCAGCAAATAAGATGAAATTTCACCATTCACTATCAAAGATATCTGTCTTCCCATGATAAGAGTAAGAATGGTGTATTGCAACTGAAAGTGCTTTGATCTCAGAACTTTTTTGACCACCCCTCGTATGTTCCCAAGCGTACTGCAACATGCTGAAAAAGCTTCAAATTTGTATCAACCAAGACACCAGACATATTGAGCACCTGAAGTGAAGTTTTCTACTGTATTTTTTTTTCTTGTAAATGTACTTCCAAAAAAAATAAAAATAGCTCCTAGATCCATTGAACTGTTTTGTTTCTATTTGAATTTAAATGTGTTCTGTTACTTAGTGCCCACCTTGTATTCTTTAAAGTGGGTTCCCCTAACCCCCTATTTCCCATAAACCATGGGTTTTACCAACCGTGGTTTTGCCAACTGTGGTGTTTTTCAGGTATGTAACCCCTGCAGTTGGTGAGGTATCGCTGTATGTTCAATAAGTCTTGGATTATATGCTATTGTAACATGCAGGCATTTCCTCCACTCAACTGCCCGCATAGGATTCCATTTTAATATAATAATACCCACTATATCCAAAAATATCTAGAATATCCTACATTTTTTGCAAAAGTTCAGTTCTTGGTATGAATTTTCCTATGGTACATACACACAGATAAGATAAGACCATAAGTTTTCTCCTTCCTTTCAAGAAAAAAAGCCCAATAAAATATTGTTATGGGATGAGATCTAGAAAGAAAATGGTCTAATGTTCAAGTCAGAAGACAACAATGTCATTGGGACTCTCTGTTGTTTAATTAAAAAAGTTGTATTCTAAATTGAATTGCATTTCAAGTACATCAGTACTTTCCAGGCAAAGTTACATTGATTTGTCTATATTTTCATGTCCTTTCATTTGACCACGTGCTCAAGGAGTCTCCCTTCTAAGTCATACTGGAGCTTGAATTTGGAAATAAAGACCTAGGCCCGAATGCACATGTCTCATTTAGGAGAGATAAAGGGGCCTTTAAGCTAAAGAGCTCTTTTGGGAATGCGTAACCTCTCTTTAAAAAAAAATCCGTTAACTTATACGAGGTTTAAGCTAAAAAGCCCTTTTTCGAATGCACAATCTACCTCTAACTTAAAGCTCCTTTATCTTCGAATGCGCAAGCCTCCTCTAACTTTAACGGACAGTTAAACAGTTCTCTAACTGGCAAAAAGAAAAAGGAGATCTAGGACCTACTCCATCTCGTAAACAGGGGATTTTTTCCTTCATAACTGGCGTTTCTTCCGTGGATCATCGTTCATTTGCAGTCTAGAAACCATGCTGTCTCTGCACAATTTACGTTTCTTTAAATGGAGGAGGCAGCATACAATTCTCTTGCGTTACAACCTCAATCGACGAACAGATCCCTTCCTCTACTACAGTGGTTATCGATTTCTGAAACGTTTCCGGTTCTCCAAGGACTCTGTTCTTGGAAAAGCTTCTTGGAACTCATGATCTTATAAACTAGATAAAGCAAAACTAGATGAAGCCAGCGCAAAGAGACAGTCGCGACTGACCTGGTTGGCCTGTGGAATGAATCTTATAAAGAAGAAGGGTTCAAGTGAGATGTTCGAACCTGAAGATGTATGTCTGGGTGCAAACAAGATACCAACCCTGAATTTTACCTGCCATTTCAAAAGTGATCAATGGAAAAATGGCAGATATTGTGGCTGGTTTGTCCCTTTTTCTATTCTCTTTTCATTTCGTCTGTCCGCAGTTGCTGCTGAAACATGAGAATTTGACTCATTGCTCACGTGCAGCATGGAGTCTGGGTCGGGGTGCCAGTCACCGCCAAAAAGTTACCTTCCAGCACTTGCATTTGACGGATACAATAGTTGAACAAAACGAGAAAGACGCTTCTCATGGCAGTGTAGACAATTTTGTGGGCCAATCCCGAGGAATCATCTCGCAGGCTTTACTTTCCTCCCATCCCCTCTCCTGATTATGCAAGTCATCGACATGACGGCTCTTGCTTGCTGAAAAGTTGGATGACTACAAAATAGCGAAGGGAGGTAACCTCAGTGTCATGGTGCTCAGTGACTGACCGTATGACTGATCCATAACTGAGCTAATTCTCCAGGTTTTGTTTTCCGTCGGGAAGCAAGTAATAACTTGGGAAAATGAAAACGTCCTCACTTCGCTTTTCCGCCAAGACGCACGTTTTACCACTTCAGCCCACTTGCACTGAATCAACTTCACCCATCCGTGTTCACTCCACATGGTATTGACTCATTTCCCGTCAAATTAGGCCTTTAAACGAAGAAATACGCTAGAGCAGGGATGCCAAGACGTGCCTTTCCACACCTCTCTCTAAAAGCCCCTTTAGTTAAAGGACCGTTAGCTAGCGGAAGGTTAAAGGAGGTTTGCACATTCCAAGATAAAGAGGCTTTTAACAAACGGTCTGTTTTCTCCTTAAAGGACCGTTAACTAAATGAGACTTGTGCATTCGGGCCCTAGCCTTTTTGTTTCAGAACCCTTTCCCCTTTACTCAATAGCCTGAGTCATCACAGAGTTATTCACCCTTCTCTTGATTGTTCTAAGAAACAACAATGTTAGTTTATTTTATTAGCATTTTCTATTTTCTGTGTCAATAGTTAATAGCTACTCTATAGGGGCTGACTGGCCATGAAATGTTGCATCAGTGCAGAGATTCATACAATGTTATTTCCCCTTTTCCAACCAATCTGGTCTGGGCAGAAGGTTAACACATCAATAACATTGATCCATCCCACTTGATTATTGGTACAGTATCCAAAGCAATAGTTTGTCAGGGCTGTCATATATCCTCTTCCAAAAATGAAAGCATAAGTATTCCGTGATATTTGAATGGAGTGTTTACCTTTTTTTCAGACCATGACTACTGATGACTTCCAATTCTGTTCGCAAGACCAGTTTGGCAAGGTCTACCATGATGGGGATTACATGCTGTTCCAGTCCAATGCACTTCGACCTGAGACAATTGTATGTATCATTGCTTGGTGTGACTTTTGAGAAGTAGTATTCAATCAGCAATGTTTGTAATTAATTTGCATGTGGCTTAGTGTTAAAATCTTGTTCTTTCCTTTTGAGTAGGTGAAGGTGTGCATGATATGGGTGACATTATTTCTTACTCTTATAATCTGATGTCCAGAAAAACGGATGCAAGGATCAATCAGGAGATGAAAGTACCCAGTGAAATGCAATGTCATTCAATCTGGTGTTCACTCTGCCCCAAAAATGTTTGGAATATTTTTCAATTTTTAGCCACTTCAAATTGGTTCAGACTATTATTGTGTGCCTTTTGAGGGCTGACTAATATATCAAATGAGCACATGCATGCAAAGTTATAACAATATCCATTCACTGATTCTAGAAATCCAGCAGGTAATTTGGAGTGTGACAACAGTAAGGGAGTGGGGCCTGGTCTGTATGGAGGCCTGTGTCAAAATTCAATTTTATGCATCATACAGGATGGCTGACGTGGTGCATATGACGAAAAAGATAAGTGCATTATTCTGTTTCACACTTGGAATGGGTACTCTAAGTGCCCACTGTCATTCTATGCAACAGACTGGTGACATTGGTCAAAACTAAGACACTGCATATTTCATGGTCTTCTGTAACAGGGAAACAGTGGGTTCCCTCTCTGGCTGGCTGTGCTTGCACTCAGTGCAATCAGTTACATTGTTCTACAGCAGACTCACTTAAAATAAGCTGCTGGATTTTTCAAAAATTAATCATTGGATTTTGATGCAGTCAACTCTCAATAACTTGAACCTCTTCAACTTGAAATTCTCAATAACTTGAAGTTACTTTGATTCCCTTCGAAAGACCCATAAGGACACAAATATCGATTGTTGATCGTGAGGCTTCCACGAGAATGCGCCAAACTCGCCTGACTGACTTCTCAAACTAATACACTAAAATGAGTTAATATTGCAAGCTTCTTTGAATTGTATTGCATGTACAATGTTGTAGAGGCATAGAATCTGAAAACCTCCCTAACTCGAATTTTCATTAACTTGAATTTCCCTTGAGCTTTGAGTTATCGAGAGTTGACTGTATAACTTTATATCCACATGCTCATTGGAGCACATAATCGATTTTCACACATATTTGATGTATTAGTTGGTCCTCAATGAGCACATTGACAGCCTGAACCAATTATGATCAGCTAAAAATCTTAAAACATTCCAAATTTTTAAAGACAGAGTGTATACTTTTGGGATAACATGAACCATTAGAATTTATTTTTATGCCTGAATATTGCTAAAAGTATTTCACCCTCAACAAAGGTTGCTGATTCTTATGATTCCTCATTGTCATGCTCAGTTTGCAATTTTTTTAATGCCTAAAATGGGTGTTTTTGTTTGCATGATTCACTTATGCTGCTTGTTTCATTTTCATGGCATCTGTAGTAATCTGTATTTAAGGATTACCTTTCATCCTGGGTAGCCATGGAATGGTTGGTTCAATGAAAAGATGTAATATAGGATGCCACAAAACCTTTACCTCCCCTTAGCAGCAAAACAGGCATTATTTCTTAAATAATTATTCAGTTTCGCATTTAGCCTTAATTTCAATATCATATGATTTCATCACTGGCCTAGAAATATATGCACTGAATCACTTCTCTTGAAGGTGAAAAAGGCCTTGTCATGAAGAAGTGCCTCTTGGTTAATATTTCTGGTATGTTATTTTGGTTGATCATGTTATCTCCTTTCTGCAGGAACCTGAGAATATCTTTCTTATTGACCAAGATAGTTCTGGCCAAAAAGTGATGCTTTTGATATTGATTTCTTCAGCAATGCAGAATGTCTAGGGTGGGGCTTCCCAACCCTGGGGTTGCCAAGATCATATTTTTGGTCACAAACTGGGAGCTATATGCCAAGTTATGGTTTTCTTTGTGCATAGATGGGAGAGCATATCAATCTTTGGCCAGTGATTGGAGTCCTGAATGGTATGATCGTGATTTTTGGAGTTGTGCATGAAAAAGGTTGAGAAGCCTTGGGAGTTGTCCAGACCTATATCTTTGTATAAAAAAAAAAAAAACATTCAATGTTGAAAGATAAGTTTGAAGCTCTGATGCTCCATTGATATCTTGGGCAGTAGTTTTTCTGTGATCACCTTTTGGAATGTTTTGCAGAAGTTCTACAAGCTCTCCAGCTTTTCTCTAAATTCTACCTGAATTTGCTACAGTCTTAGTCCTCTTACCTTCCAGCTGTTATCCAGGCCAGAGGTGGATTCATGCACTACTGAGATTTAATCTGCAAATGTTGAATTGAATAGGTAATTCAGAAATTTTCTTTCATTATCTCACAGCTCTGCTACTGAAGGATAGAGTGAGGTTTAGTGGCACCCTGTAAATGACATCATTTTGCTCTTTATTTTTCCATGAAAAACTGCAACAATGGTTAATATCCATGAAGAACTTCATAAAACATGGAAATCTTCAATTTGAAATTGTTGATAGCACAATATATGGAACTAAAGTTATAAAGGATTAAGTAACAGCAATTTTGTATGGCAAGGTATGAGTAGAAAATAGCATCAGGAAGATTATAACGACCAAGGACCAAGAGTTGGAAGTAAATCTGATTTTGAATAAGCCTACAAGCAGGCAAGAAATCCTATCCACTCCATTTCTCTTTAAGTCAGGGGTGCACAACTCAAAAGACTGTGAGGGCTACTTACAATTTTTATTCACCTACCATGGACCACATCTACTCCTATGACTTACTTTCATTGCTGTGGCCATCATGGCAGGAGCCATAGTAGCAGTCATGGCAGACCACGGGAAAGGGCCTCACAGGCCGTATGTTGTGCACCCCTGCTTTAGGTTATCTTCATATTCTTGCATAATAGTGTCTTCAGTTCTATTTCACTGTCAATTTCTATTCTTGTCACAGTCTAGAATAATAATAGGTTTATATTTCTCTGAAGCTACTTTGAATCCAACCATGAAGCCTGATATAATGCATGGACACCATCACATTCATGAACTATTCATGCTCATTATCCCTCTAATAACCCATAATTTTGAAATATATCACTTCTCTCTGTAAAAATCAATGCAGCTCCTCCGTTAAAATTTTATTTTTGCTGAAAATATCTCATTCACTTATGGAATGAATTTAGGTGTGAATGCTTTAGGTGTTTTATTCTCAGTAGACATGGGCTTACAGGTTGCAACTTTCTCATTACAAAAAAGGTGGGAGAACTATGAAGTAAGTCCTAGCATTATCCTCTTCCCTTTCAGAAGTGACAATTAGTTTTTTCACCTTGGAGCTCACCTATGCTTGGAGTACATCTATGCTTTCTTCAATGCAGCTACATCATCATCATTGTCTTCCAGATTCTTCCCTGCAAAACTTTTTCCTTTGAAATTTCACCCAGTCCAAGATGGCCTATTTCTATCTCAAGGTATGGTGGCGGAGTGTATTCAAGAGGAAGGAGTAATATATTTTACATCCTTGTATTCATTTTCCATCCATCCCTTGTCATCTGTTCACTCAGGTAGGTCTACATGGAACTTTCCATCCCTGCCCTTGTTTTCCTAGTTCTGTGCCAGTGTATTCAAATGTCCTCCCTCTGCTTGCCAATCCACTGCAGGATAGGTAAGCAAAAGAAATCATAGCAGGAGAATCAACTGATCTTACCAGCATTTCCTCATATTACTAGTTATCCCTGCATCTTCCCCATCACTGTTATGTCTTACCTATTCATATCATTCCTCTCTCAAATTATACACAACTCAAAATGTTTCCTTCTATATTTTTTCATATCAATTAAGCATTACGTTTTGTGGCTACCAGGCAGTACTGCTTCTGAATGCATCTCATGCAATAGTTCAAAATATGGTTAGGTAACCAATAATTATCTTAAAATCTATATAAAAGTTTTAATTTATCCCACTTTTCAAGTAGTGAGCACAATCAGGCATGATAGCTGTTTCAGTTGCGATGGTTTTGTACAGTCAATTTAGCACCAGGACCAATATTCTGAGAGTCACAGTTACAATATCCTCAAATTATGCAGTTTCCTATCAGAACTTGATCAATGTGAACTGTAAGGCACCATATGCATTAAGGGAAGTTATGGTGCTGCCATTATTTTTTTGTAGCAGTAAAGGTATATAATGTACTGCATCATTTATCAATATGGAATCAAGTTTTTCATTCGAGTTTCTACTAATGAGAGTCATGTGCTTATTGTGGGGTGTTTCTTAGGAGGAAGGGATGTGTACAATACAGTATAAATCAGTTATAGGCTTAGTTACAGCTTCAAGTGAAGCCTGGTCCTGACCTGAAGTTTATTAAATATGTTTCTTTATACCTTGCCTCTAGTGAACTCAGTTATTGCAGAGATCTTGATTATAAAGCAGTCAAATTTGTTGACATTGACAAAATTAATTAACTCAAGTTGTGGAAACTGCAGGTACAGCTTGGATTGAGACAGAACTTTTTTACTTGTAGAGTGGTGAATGCATGGAATGCATTAGATGACGACATAGTGGCTACCCCTTCCATGACTATTTTTAAGAAGAAACTAGATGCTTTTATGGACAAGCAAAAAGGGGGCCAATGTTGACCTAAGGGACTAGGCAGTAAGCCACTAGGATATGCAAAAAAAATACAAAAATATTAAGCTTATTAAATTATTAAGGCCTACCCTAAAAATTAAGGAAAGCTCCACCTCAATACCTGGTATCCAAATGGGTGTTATCGCCTCTTGATACCACTAAACTACCTTGAAAATTGACAATGTTGTAAAGTTTTTGATTCTGCATGCTCCCCAATAACTGGGATTTCCATCATTGAGAATGTTACCATTTGGGAACTCCTAATTTTCTCATTTCTGGAGTCTGCATCCTGGAGGATCTCATGTGCATTCAATTGGCTTGACTGTAGTTAGGGTGGAGGGGGGAAAATTCTAAGCACCAAAACATCATCTACCCTTCAGCCAGCTAATATTCAATTGCTCTTCATGGTTCCCACAGACACCAGAATTGTGTATAACTAATTTTTATTATTATTATATTGTAACACTGTTATGGAAGTTATAAATACCACTTTGTTTATCATGAGCCTTTGCTATAATGAATGTATTTTTATGGTATCTTTGTTTGGGACTTAGCCCTACAAGATACCCCTTTAGTAATAAGGATTTTTTCAAGAGCTTTCCAACATCAACTGATCTGACCAGTCGCTTTTGAATCATCTTATGCTTTCCAGGCTTATATGGTGGATTTTTATGTGGATGAACCAAATCCTCCTTCTGGTCATATCCCTGTCCACATAGGAAGTAGTTACATCCTACCTGGCAACTTGAAGACATCCAATGGATTTTTGACCACTCCGATTACAGGCAGAAAGAGGCGACCAATTGGGCAGCTCACTAGTCAGTTTGATCTTCATCCCTTTTGTGATTATGATAATTTCTTAGTGTGGGTTTGACAGATGCAATATTTGTTCTGTAGTTGAGTATCTTGTGGTGCACCCCATCAAGGACTACAGTTGTGATTTGAGCACTTCTTACTCAAAGTACTGGAAGACATCCTGGAGGGGACTGGACATTGGCCATCGTGGATCAGGTTCATCTCATGGAACAAATCCAACAAGGTGAGGATAGCTTCCTTCATTGTAAGAAGCTTGTTAAGGATACCTTTGGATGAATGCAGTGACTTCATAATGCTTCCTGACAGCTGCTCCAATGTGAGAGAAAATACAATTGGGTCATTGCGCCATGCTGGTGAACATGGAGCAGACTTTGTGGAATTTGATGTGCAGCTCTCCAAAGACTTCATACCTGTACTCTTTCATGATTTCCATGTGGGGATTGTGACTGAGAGGAAGGGAGAAGGGAGTGATGTCCTCACAATACCCGTGAAAGAATTAACCCTTGAACAGTTGCATAAGCTGAAGGTAAACTGTTCCAGCCTTGTAAAGGCTTGTTCTTTCTTTCTCCCAGGTCATTTCCAGAATTGAAGAACCAGAATTTCATAAATACTCATTTAGACCTAACATGATATGGTTTATATCAGATCATTGTTTGCATAATTGCATAGACACTTGTACTTTAGTTAGTGCACAAGGAAGAAAAGGATCCCTCAAATGGAGGAGAAGATGGGAATGAGGAATTCCAACTATTCCCCACCTTGGAGAAGGCTCTACAAGTTCTCAAACCATCTATTGGATTTAACATTGAAATCAAGTGGACTATGCAATTGAAGGTAAAAGCCTTTCTATTGAACCATACTTCTTGCATTTAGAGCTACCAAACCATTACAAATTTTGTAACATAGGATTCTTTTGAAGGAGATGTGAGGTGCTAGTATTATCTATGTTAACTCTTGTCTGCCCATCATTCTATCTCTATTATGCTGATGTTTCTATAATTTTTTCTTTCCTATTTGGTGGAGTTGATTTATTTCTGTTTGTGTGTGTGTGTTAGTTTACCATGAATGGATACATACTCTCTTTGGTAAAGTTATGCACATCTAGCTAAACCAATGTTTCACTTTCTTTCCCAAGAACTCTTGGGCAAATAACTTGGATTAATATGCCATCTGGGAGCGATAGGACTTGGCAGTAGCTTGGTAATTTGGGTACTCTTATGGCTCTTTGACAGGACACCACGTATGAGCTTCAGCATCCCCATGATTTGAACTTCTTCCTGGATACTGTGCTCCGAGTTGTCCTTGAACATGGGTGCCTTCGAAAAATTGTCTTCTCATGCTTCCATCCAGATGTTTGCACCATGTAAGTTGCTTTGAATCATAGTTTCAAAGTTTTGAACTGATTTAGATTTGGAAATGCATGTTAGTTTTTTCCCTACCTTTATGATGGATCCAGGCTTAGACTCAAGCAGAATCGCTATCCAGTGCTATTCCTGACTCAGGGTGAAACTGAACGTTGGCCTCAGTACCTGGATCCTCGGACTCACTCTGTGCCTCATGCAATACGCTTTGCAAAGGCCACTGAACTCCTTGTATGTGCCACATTCTTGTCTTGCCTCCAATTCTCATTGGTTTTTTAAATTATATTTCCTTGCTTTGCCAATACTGGCTAGCTGAACAAAGTTACTTTTCTCTTCTCAGGGTGTGAATGCTCACTCTGAAGATCTGATACGAAACCCTTCATTGATTCAACTCGTGAAAGATTCTGGGCTGGTGCTGTTCTGTTGGGGTGAGGAGAACAACGACCCTAAGATAATCCGGCAGTTGAAAGCATGGGGAGTTGATGGAGTTATCTATGACAAGATTGACACATACAATGAGAAAGTTCTGAAAGTTAGCATCTTCAGCCTAGAGGAGAAACTGGAAGTGGATATGTATCTTTGAGCAATATTGAGTCAAGCAGCAGCTGCAGATGCAATGATGTTGGGGTAAAAGATTATGATGACAAGTTAATTCCTATTCCCCTCCTGCTTCTCCCATAATCTCATCTGTTCAAAAATATCTGTCTTTTTCTTCATGCCTTAGGAAATGTTCAACTTTATCTGGTGATATTTATTCAGTTTATACCTGAAGTGCATTGTTTCATTTGTATCTTTTTTTGTCGTTTATGGTTGTTCTGGTTGTTTTCATGTCTATGGGCCCTGGCTTTGCTTTTTTTGCTGCTTAAGGTTTTTTGCATGAAAGTTGCTCAGGATGGTTTATGGCATTATATTTTATAAGATACCCTCCAAAGTTTTCTTTCTGTATTTGAAGAGAGTATTCTGCTGTGAATGAATATGCTTTGTTTTCTGCCTTTGTTTTCCTCTCTCCTACCTTTTCCAAGTGGATTTTTTCCTTGTTCCTTCCTTACCACTAAATGCTGCAGCTTCCTTTTGAGTTTTCTCTCAGTGTTTCTTAGTTTTTCTCTTAAGATACTTCATAAATGGGGGAGTCTCCCCATGTGAGAACAAAAGGATCATTCATCTTGGAACACCTGCTGTTAAGAGCCTCTGAGCAGACTATCACATAATAATATGTTTCATCCATGCAGTTCACTTTTGCTCATACATGTAAAGTTTCTCTGGATTTCCCCTTGTTTTTTGTTTATCCTCAATTTTTATTAATTTTTCATTGAAGACAGTGATCACATCATGTAAAATTGATTTGCTCATGTTGTGGCTTGGTTGGATCTTCACAGAAGCATCTGTGCATGGCAAGAAATTGTGGACATGAGCATGTTCCGTTGGTTATCATTGCGCTGGTGTACAGTGGGCAGGATCCCAAGGAAAGCTGGAAACTTATTAATGGATTATTCCAGTAGAGACTCATTTCCTTTCCCTTGTCATTGTCTTCTATGCAAAATTGAAGGGAATTGAAGTGCTACAGTCTAAAAACAGGCAGTTTTTTTGTTTGGTGAAACTTCCAGGCATTGTACAATTCAGCACATCGGGTTGCTTCATGGGGATATAGGAATGTCTCAGATACAATATAACTCATCTCATAATAGTTTTTCAGGTCAGCTGGCTGAAATTAACCACCCCATGGAAGTTAAGGGGCTGTTTCTAACTGTGACCTATCACTGGTACTTCAAATAGTTGTAGGCATGAGGCTGCATGGTAGCTCAAAGTGTAAAAAGCGGCTTTTGCATGAAGTTTGGCTTTTGATATTTGTAGGAAACAAGTTAAGGCTGAGAACAAAGGCCTACATTCTGCAAGACAAACCTTTATTAGGAAAAGGCTACCGTGAAACTATCAACCTTGCTACATTTTGCAAATTTGATTTTTCCAGGTTTTTTGCTAGTCTGGGCTGCTCTGTGGTGTAGTATTGCTATATTGCTGAGTTTTTTTACTATTAATGAACTACAAGAGGTGTTGGGGTTGTAAGGAAACCGCTCTTCGTACAGTTCGATATTCTTTGAGCATTTCATGTGGAGTACTACTCAATTGCATGACTCTTGAGATTGCAGGGAATGTTACACTTCAAGTACAAATCAGAAAGATCAATGATGTTAGTGATAACATTGCATCTTGCATTGCGCTTTTTATTTTTGACCGGTGAAATCAGTGAAATACAATAAATGCATATAGCAAAAATGTTATGTCTGACTCTTATTACTCCTTTCCCTACATTTTCTTTCACTGCTTCCGCTGAGATGGTAGCTTCAAGGAACTGCAGTCTTCCAGGGAATAGGCGAATAGGCCTATTGATCACTATGGCAGCATCTAACTATTTAAGGCCATCCGCAGAAGGGATGACTACTTCTCATGATGCATTCCATGCATCCTCTACCCTGCACAGTGGGACAAAGACGAGCTTTTGTGGCCAAAATTAAAATTGATTCTTGAGAATTCAAGTTTAATGCTCTGAAGGACAATAAAAGCCATCTTATGGTAAAATGAAGGTTTATAACCCATTCAAGGTGATTCGGAAGTATTCTCTTGGTTTCTTACCACTTTTATGAACAGCGGAATGACTTCCAAGTTCGAACCTTCAAACAGTAACTCACCAAAACACAAAGACTTGACCATGGTACTAATTACATAATGCAGAGCAGATTTCTACAGTCATTTTCATCAGAATGTCCAAATTATTCATTTCTTAAGGTTTTGAACCACAAAATTCAGTACCCACACAGCACAGGTATATCCTAAAGATATCCCAGAGATATCCCCTTGGGACAAGGAGTATTGATATACATTTTGATATCTTAGGGATATCAAAATGTCTGGGCGTAAAGACATCTCGAGGATGTCTCTTTCTTCAGCACAAGTACAGTGAAAACTCGTTAACTCGAACTTTTAGGGACCGGGCAAATCGTTTCGNGTCATCATGACTGCCCTTGCGTAATTTCAATTGATTTTTTATTCCAATTAAAAATTTAATTGATCAATAAGGCAATTAGTAAAATGAAATTGGCATCCATACAAATAGTACACAGCAAATTCATGGTTTTATAACAGGTGCCAAGCAGTTTGCTATTTGTCCTCTATATACAGTATATGCAGCAGGTAGACTTTGAAAATATATTGTTGCAAGAGTCAGAGCCATTGATTTTTTTTTTTGGGTTGCCAGCCACTTGTAGTCTCTGCCAAATACCTTTAGTTTCTTCCTAACCTTTTATGACCTGCTCCTTTTTTGTGTTTGATGTGGGAAAAAAATGAATTTGTATTGTTCATTAATTCCAGTACCTGGACATTAGTGAAAACAAGCTCAAAGAACTGCCTCAAGCAATTAGTCAACTGAAATCACTAAAGCAGTTGAAAGCTTCCTCGAACAAGCTGAAGTCATTGCCTGATGGCCTTGGCAGACTGACAAGACTTGAGCTGTTGGATTTGCGAGAAAACCAACTTACCAAAGTGCCTCTGTCTGCATGTGGCCTTTCCTCCTTATCTCAATTTCTACTTGATGGAAACCCTGATCTTACGGGGTTCCGCCGGGACCAAGCTTTGAACTTCGAGATAAGCAGAATTTCGACTTATCAGGATTCGAGTTAACGAGTTTTCACTGTATATCCGAAGGATGTCCCAGAGATATAGCCTAGGGACAAGTGAGAAGTCCTAGGTAGTATAGTACTTGCAGGCGCCTTCCTATCTGCAATGGACTCCTTTCTTACCGCACAGGAGAACCCATTACTTCCGAAGATGTCTCAATTAAAACTAGGAACTCCTAATCATAAGTTCTTGACCAATTGAAGAGTGGCAGTTTTGAGGGAAGAAAGTCCTATTCCTAAAGGGAGTCCCATCATAGGAGACACAACTCCAAGGGAAAAAATGTAGTACCTTCACAAGAGGGGTCAGAGACGAGATGATTTAGCCTTCGGTTTTTTTTTTTCAAGCATGGGCTCAGGCCTCCAACCAAGATAGTTGTATCCGGACATACCGATCACTCATCATTAAATAGAATATAGCGGAATAAATTAAAATTCAGACAACAATTTTTTCCTTTTCCCTAATGGCTGTTTTCCTGATGTACGGTACGATAGTCCTTACTTATCCTCAGGACAAATCAAGTAGACGAATTTGATAGAAAAGATCGGGGTTGCTGATTAGGACTTACGGGAGACATCTACTGTCGAAGGTATGCACCTGACTGAAGGCGACAAAGAGCACTGAAGATGCCTAAAGACATCCCTAAGATGTCCCTAAGACATCCTCCTCAAGATATCGAAAAGCGTTCGACTGAAGATGTCCTCAAGATATCCCCTCCAGGATATCAAGAAGCATCCAACTAAGGATGTCTTATAGATATCCCGAAAGGGATATCTCAAAAATATCGACTGAAGATTTCTAAAAGACGTCTCTTAAATATCCTGAAGACATCCCTTACGAGATGTCCGAAACCTTCCGAAAGATGTCTTCAGGATATCCTATAAAGACCAGGGGACAAGTCGTCCAGTTAGGGACATCCCTGGGATATCACTGTGCTGTGTGGGTATGCGTACCTGAGCAGGTTTTGTTGATGTCCACGATGATTATATTTTTACATTAATCATTGTCGGATACATACGAGGTGTGGCAATAAAGTTCCAGGACTGATTTTTTTTGTGAGTCTGTCAATATCGCAAAAATTATTTCCATTACATGGACTAATAGATTAAACTGTTGGGTAGTGTAGTGTCAGTCCTCATCTGACTATCATCTTGAATGAGAGTTTGGCTGGCAATGTAGTAACTCAGTGTGTAAGACGTCTGTCATATTCCCAGAGTGAAGCAATGCTGTATCACATTTTGTCTCAAACCGGTCAATACACCTGCAGCGATTCATCAAATGTTGCAAGAAGCGTCTTGACAAATTGTCTTGTCATACTTCAAGAATCTTGAATAGTTTTCAAGGTTTTCAGCCAGTAAAAAATAACGATTGGTTCACCCATCCCTTGGGTGAATGGTTGGTGATGGTTGGGATTGAGGTGGATCCGAGTGTCTTCACTACTTGCTAAAGGCCTTGAAGGTCATTCAAAATTATTGGAGCATAACAAGGAACTTTTCAAGACACTTCTGCAACGTTTGATGGATTACTGCAGCTGTATTGACCGGTTTTACGCTTTCACCCTTTGCTTGGTTGCGAGAAAATGTTTCTATGAAGCTCTGTGAACCAGTAATAATATGTTGCTTTCAAGAATATTAATCTCCTAACTTGTGATGATACTTTTTCTGGATGAAAAGCAATGGGGCCAAGGAATCATGGAGAACAATGCCACCTTCTGGCAAAAAAAGCCACAAAAGCGGTCGCCAGTCCCAGTAAACGTATGAAGCCGTGCGTCAAGCTCCAGAAGCAATCCCGGGAGGTATGGGGCATAGAACGGCAAATACGAGAGTTGACGGGCCAAAATCAACCGGTCGTGTAATTGGATAAGTCGCTCACTTCAAGAGTGTCAAGAAAACCCCTTCTCCATAAGAAGGAAGAATACTTGCTCAAAGATAAAATTCTATCTTTAGCTGTCAGAGGGAGGGATTTTTCTGCCCTCTGGTAGGAGTACCTCGAATTTGGGCCGGAAAAGAGAGAGTGTAGTCTAAAAACAAATTGCTGGAATTTCACCATTTCAGTCCTGGTGGGACTCAGAAGTTCCCACTCTTTTTAAATATTTTATTGAAGGACTATATAGCACGACGTTGAGACCTAGCAGGACTTCTAAGTCCCTGTGGCCTCTTTTGGAATTTGAGTGTTATTGGTCGATGATATTTCATTGCGGACGGTTGAAAGAATAAAATTAGTTATTATGACAGTTATATTTCTTTGTCAAGGCTGAAAGGGTTGAGCAAGCCAAACGAGGCTAGCAAGCTCCGTAATTATTTCCCCTTATCTCTCCCCTTCCAATCGATCGTGTTGAAGTTTGACCTCGTTCCTCACTTGTTTTTTAAGTGCAACAGCATTCTCTCCAGGTTGAAGTTTATCTGTCATAAGTTCACTTTGAAAATCGTTTACGTCGAAAAGGTTCCATTCTAAGCATGGAAATTGTAATAATAAGGAAACTGATTTAAATTGGAAAATTTGAAAACATACTTGAATGTACAAGAAAATGAAACCATTCGAAAAAAGGTTAGTGCTGCGTACAGATCATGCGTATCATTCAGGTCTAAAAAATATTTTTTTTTGGCATCCCTCATGATCATTCGTAGAATTCAAGTTTTTCGTTTTCAAGTTTCTGCGTTTTTATTACGAGCCAACAAGAGTATGGAGATATGTAGGCTCCAGGGGCAGAGGTGCAAAAGGCCATTATGTAGTAGCCTCTTTATAGAGTTCGACTCAAGTCGCACGAGTGTTCGGGTCTAGCCGTTCCCCGTTCGACTGAATCCGTCAGCCTCTCATTCTAACCAACCTCACTTCTTCCGCAATATCTCGGTTGGGATATTTTAGAGGCGTTTCATTCTTGCAGCATTGCAAGCTGCAGAAAAAGACGAAAGCAATGAGATATGATACAATTTGGTGGTCCTCAAGGGATGCGAGAGGTATACCTCCTTTTCGCCTCGCTTCACAATGCCGTGCCGAAACCCGTTCGAGTTTCGTCGCTTTACCCCCCTGTCCTCAGTCACATGGGTGGGGCTGCGTGAGGGCAGAAGCGGCCAATGACGTCAAGACTGGCTGGTCGCCAAGGTGATAAGTCGTCACTCGGCGAGTGCGTCACTCGCTCATTCCCCCTACGGTTCCTATGGGCAGTGGCGGATCCAAGGGGGAGAAGGGGGGGCGACAACCCCCACCCCCTTATGACCTTTGGAATCTAATATTTAGAATTTTAACATCACAAATTAATATTTTGTTTGGGCCTGTGAAATGGATATCCAGGTTTTACCAGGAACGAAATGAAAAAGGCAATTGGATGGAGGGTAGTAGTTGATGGTGATTCATGGTGGGAGAGGGAGGGACAAGAATAGCGCACAACCCAATGAATAATTTCTGAATCAGGCACTGCCTATGGATGACTTAATGAGACCTCTTTCCCACCAGTGATAACGTCATATCAGGCTCAAAGGGGAAACCATGCTGTGGAGGAAGAGCCCTATTCCCAAATAAAAAATGAGTTTACATTTTTTAATGGCATTGGAGAAAACCCCGGGACAAACAAACATACTGACCCACAGACGGGTGCACGACAATATTCAACTGCTATTTAATTACCTATTTATCTTCATCAACCCAGGCAGCAATAGCACATCCAACGTACGTCTGGTTTTCATCCTCGAGTCCGCATATGTGCTCGTCCGGCTGATATCCGACAGACATTCTTTGAAAATGGCAGGGTGAGCATGTCAGCTCACGTCAGCTTTACGTCAGCTGAGTGTGTGACGCACATACAGGCGGATATTCAACGGATATTAGTTGGATGTCGTGAAGATCTCATCCAATTGGCAATTGGACATGCACTTCAGTGTTCAGACTTCATGTTCGTGTCCCTAAGTCCTCGCGCATACCCGTCAGACGATCGACGGAAATTCTACCGTGTCTTGTTGATCTTTTCCCATGGTAACTTCCGCATATGCTTGTCCGCCGGACATACAGTAAATATGATGAAGTGATCCATGATACGTATAATATCCCATGTATGTCGGATGAACGTACGAAACATGGGGGGGGGGGGGGTTATCGCCTTAATTATATAGAGTACTTTTTTAACGCTAAAGTAAAACTCAGACTGCATTATTAACGAGGAAAAAAATAACGAGACGACGGGCCGGCCATCTAGGAGTTATTCCTACAAACACGGTCCCACAACCAAAGCCAGATGTGACGATTCACTGAAACTCATTCCATTGGCAACAGGGAGTGCCCTGTTGCCAATGGAATGAGTTTCAATTACTTTCATATGATACGATAACATTTCCTGTAGGCAACGTAGGGGCCTACATTCATGGAATCTAATGTCTAACGTAGACATTAGATTCCATGAATACCTTCACTTAAAGATATAGCCCAATTCAAGGAGACTTCAAGGGATTCTGTCCCAGAGGATGGAGGAAGGAGGTGGTGCCACGAGGGACCTCACTACCTGTGTAGATAAGACCATTTGCGAGGCTGCCTGGCTCCATTACAGCGAAGGGCGCAGATTTTGGTTTGGTGAGAGAGAGAGAGAGAGAGACGAAGAGATCCTATTTGGCATGAAGTTTTAAGGTAGGTAAAGAAACTTGTATGATTGAAGATGTCACCACGAGTTTGAGATTACAAAGGAAAGTCAATGACCTCGCATTAATCGAGAATAAGGTCGTATTTGCTGGTGTATTTCTAACCAGGGCATGGAGATTCACAAGGTGACAGAATAATAAACTCAATTCGTTGATAAAACGTTTTGTGTTCATTCGATGTGCAAGGCGGTCGTGAATTCCGTATCGGTGTTCGGAATCACGTAACTTGCAAATCATGGGAGGGAAGGACGCGAAATTCACGAGAAGCACGACGCAGATGAGGAGTATGATTAGATAATAATTTAAAAAATGCAATAACGCAATTGCATTGAAGGCACCATCACGAATGGAGACGTGATTACTGCCATACGCATAGAATCTTTCTCGGCAAACAGCTCCGAACACTATAGGAGTGTGGAAGTTCCGCGTATATCCCACTGGAACTGGGGAAAAAAACATTAAGACTGGAAAAACAGGGGGGGGGGGGAGGATTTCGGTAAGCGTGAAACATTGGGACGACATTGCCTAAATGTTGACAAAGCTTGGCTGAATGTGGAGGTGGACTGGTCACGTTGGTTCAACGTCTGTGGGAAGTGGGCATGCGATGCTGGGTGCATGTGTGCTGCTAATATTGGGCCAATATTGGTAGATTGTCGGCAAGGAGAGGATGAGCAAGGTTAGGTGCATGTGATCTGTCAATGTCGACATTGGTGTGTTGTTGGTAGGAAGTAGGTGCGTTGTTGCTTACGTATGGCCAGCCAAGGGTTAGTCAACGTCGTGGCGGAATGAGGTTTCACAATGTGGAGTTGCGGTGGCCTGTCCATATTTAGCTGACACTGAAAAAAAATATTCATAAGAGGAAAGGCTTTTGATGTTGGGACAATTATCGAAAGGGAAACGAATTTATCGCTAGATTTCGCTTGCATGAAGAAAAACCAAATAATACAGCAATCGCTAAGCTACATGAAGAAAATGTAGTGGATCCAAAAATCAGCGCCTTCTCTCCATGGAATGTGTGATGCTCTAGAAAATCAATACATAGAGACCTACCACGCGACGTCGAACGTGACGTAGCACACGAAGCGCTGACTCAAAAGCGTACGAAGTGGCCTGTGAAAGATAACAAGGGGTTCCTCAGGTCATGGATGAGTCGCAATCACTGTCGCGGTGACTATAAATCCTAGGTGCATGGCATTGAACGGAGATGTCGCCCTATAGCCCTGACTGTCAGTCTCGAATCTGTTATATCACTATCTTCTTGATTAGTTCTATGCAGAGGACAGGTAATGCAGGGCCAGCCTTAGGCTTGTGCCACATGTGTCCCCGCACAGGCCGCAAATTCTCTAGGGGCGCCAAAACGCGTCAGAATGGATGAAGCAATAGTGGATGCCACCCGCAGTTTTACTTCAGAAAGTGGAAATGCCTTCCGCTTCGGCATTTTTTGGACACGAGGGATTGACCCTTCTCCCTTCTAAGGAGAAGGGGGGGGGGGGGCTGCGGCAGCGGCGTTGGGAGTCTCTTTGCATAGGGCGCTGAAGTAGCTAGGGCCTTTCTCGGCAAACAGCTCCGAACACTATAGGAGTGTGGAAGTTCCGCGTATATCCCACTGGAACTGGGGAAAAAAACATTAAGACTGGAAAAACAGGGGGGGGGGGCTGCGGCAGCGGCGTTGGGAGTCTCTTTGCACAGGGCGCTGAAGTAGCTAGGGCCGACCCTGAGGTAAAGTACTGAAAGGTTTGTACTGTATGCTTCAAAGGTTAATGATCCCTCTGCGATCGTTTATGTCTAATCTAACTTACTAGCGATGTGAGTGTCTATGCAAGGCTGCCTCTTTCTAGATGGTATTACCTCCGACCCTGATACTTTGAACTTAAGCTTTTTAAGGGTGGGGCATCAGGACGACGGAGTATGGTAGCCTGGTCGGTCATAGGATTGCCTTGGGTTATCAGGGTCAGTTTTCATCTAAAAAAACCCGGATTCTTTGTTTTTAGGGGTTATCAAACTCTCTGAGTTCGCAGGTGAAGTTTGTTATTATTATTATTGACCTTTTCCCTTTGAGATATTACAGGTCAAATGTCAACATTTTTAGAGGCACTCTCCAGATAGGGGAACTCTTCCCCGCCGATCGAACCTGAGCGAAACCGGCATCAATGGAATGCATTAAATTCCGGGCGCCACATTTTCGTCGAGTTGCGACTAAAACTCGGCAAGCTACAACCAAGATATTGTCGCAAATGTCGGGGATCAGTGGTTCGACTGATAGCGTGTTGGGCTCGCGTGACGGAGGGCAGGGTTTCGAAACACGACCGAATCTGACTTTTTCTTCCGATATAGGCACCGTTGTGTTTGGGATAGGACAGCACTGGGCACGAAAAACTCCCGTCTCTGGAACGTCAAAAAACATGGTGAAAGCTGAATGCATATCCCAAAAGAAATCACGGTAGAGAGGGGCGCGGGTATGCTGGATCCACGGGGCACTTGCAAGAGCGGAACCGACGTTGTCCAAGGTATGGCGGTTGTGGCGGCAATGAATGGGAATGAATCCTATTGAAGCGGAGCTGAATGCGTTTGAAATGTGCTGCCTTCGAAGATGTGTGAGGAAGCCCATCTGCCCATATTGTTTATCTCTCTCTCTCACAGTTGACTTCTGTGTCACATCGTACCCTGCCGTCATTTAACTGGGCCATCAGGCCTTGGTTTAGGAGAAACGAAGCGACGACACTAGCTGAGATAGAACTTATTCCGGCTAATGGAATTGTAAAGGTCTGAAGTAGACACCCACTGTTGATCCAACAATGACCCGTCGGCATATTTACATTGGGCTAATTTAGCGTGTTACGTTGGCCTTACATTTTCCAGGTGGGCGCAGACTGCGTTAAACCAATTCTCTTGAAATGATGGTTCCAACCCCGTTCCCCCCCCTCCTCCTCCCCCGCTTCCTACGCCCTTGATTATTGTTTATTGGATTTCTAAAAGATGTTTGCGTTCCAAAATTACCCAAGGACGCTTCCAGATCTGCGATACCGCGGGAAGTGTACAAAATTCCTCGCGAGACGTCACATGCCGCCGTTTCAGGCGTCATTCCACTCATGCCTGCTCGCTTTTTTCGCTAGACTCCGACATTCTTGCGTGGGAAGCACCATAGACGAATGTCGGAATAGCTGAAGAAGTGTCGGACTCAAGTGATGAAAACTATCATCGATCGGCATGAGGCCATATTGAACGGTGGGTGTAGTGGCGCTCTCTATACCACTCCGTTTTTCATCCCCTTTTGCTCTCCGTCGTGTGTCTCTCCAGCAATTTGCGTGCCGATCCCCATGGTTTGCGAGCTACACTACTCCAATGCTGATCCGAACTTGACTGTCACCTTATCCAGAATTTCATGACGTTCCCTTTGTACATCCAGTAGAGCTCCGCACTTCGCAGTACATCCAGTGAATATCTTTAGGGCATACTATGTATGTCCATGCACTGTAGGTATCGCCGCTTATTGGAAAGGATGTAGGGAGTACATTCAGAGTTGTACAAAAGGCATTGCATGTGAATATCCACATGCAACGCCTTTTGCTTCAAGAGGATGTCCTGCGGATCTCCGTGCGTCCACGGTCGGATATCCAGTGGACGTATGGTGATGGAGTTGGAGGTGGATTGGATGGTGATCGTTGACTAGAGGGGCAGCCGATTATAGAGGTTTAAAAAAAAATTACGTAGATGTTGAGAAGGAGCGCTTTCGGATCTGATTTATTTATTCCCCCATTTCTGGAGGGAGGAGATAAACTGAAGGGAAGATCAGCTCTGAGGGAGGAGGCAGCATGTGCTGTGCACTGCACGGCCCTAAGATAGACATGGCGTACCCCTATTCCTCAGTCGCGCATTACTCACGAGAATGAGTAGGGACTACTACCGCTCGTAAGTGGGCTTAGGCCGAAAGGCTTACTCCCTTCTTGCTTTCAAATTAACCATCCCCCAACGATGCCCCTTTTCAAAAGTAGGAAGGAGAGGAAAGAAGACAAGAGCAAACTTCAACAGAAGTTGACTTTCGTGAGTATACCTTGAACCTTGGCTAGTTTATACGATTCAAAGTGGCGTATTTAATCGCAAGACATTTGTGTTTAATGCTTTCTCGCCCCGTAGTCTCGAGACACGCCGGATCCAGTCTTCGATATTTCAGATTGCAGTATCCATGCAGTTCCAAGTGGAGTCTACTCTCTTTGCAAAGTGTTTCTGAAGGAGGCTTTAAGAATGAACGTAAGTTCAGAGAAGGAGTGTAAACATTTTCCTTGAGTCTGTGTAGTTTTTCTTTATACCAGTTTTCTCCTTGTTGATTTTTTTTCACCCCCAATTTTTATAACTGGATGGGAATCTTTGGCTTGGCTTTTGGCACATGCAATAACCCTTTTAAAAAAAATAAACATATGATAAAGAACAAATACAGAGGATGATTAGTCAGAGACAAAATTATTTTATGAGATATTGGATGGGATGGTCAATTGACCACTATTGAAAGCTCATTTTCATTCATTCAATTTGGAAATTACATAGGACATATAACTAATCATTTATTTTTCAGTGCTAAAGCCATAATACTGGTTCCATTTTTAGTAATATTTCTGAAGCCCATCCACCATATGTGCTGGTAAAAAAAACTGTTGCTGTAATCTTGGTGGTGTCAGGTGCATGTGCAAGCTTGGTCTGGTGTTTAAGTTCTTGCAGCCTTACTACCCTACTAGGCTAAGATTCTGCATCTAAGTTCAACAAAGAATCTATGGCTTAACATAAGACTTATACCCACCCGAAATAGAAAAGCTCCAGCTTTCAACTTTGTATTTTGAATCCCTCAAGAATTTTGGTGCTTTTGGAACTGTTAAAATATCCTATATTTTCAAGTGTCACTGGTTGTTACATCTAGTTCCAACATGTACAACTTGAGTGCCAGAGAGGAGGAGATTGCCTTTGTTACTGGTAACATTTGTTCTGCTAGCAGCAGAAGAAAAAAACTACATTAGAGTAGGCTTTATTGACCATAAATACCCATATTGACCAGTCATTTGACCTGTCAACAGGATATTCCTTGATGAGATACATGCAAAATGAAAGAATTAGTACTATTGACAACAAAAGGAGCATCTTGGCTGTGTGTTGGGTTTGGTCAAAGTAATTCAGAACTAGTGTAAATTGGTTGTGGAAGTTCCTTTCTCTTATTGGAGATTCAGTGTTTGGGCTGGTCTTAGATAATTGTTGAATTATATTAGTGGATGTCAGTAGTTAGGAGATGTGTAATATGGGCCTAGTTTTGGATGCCCCTTAGAATGGAGGGTACAGGTCCAGTATACACTGGTTTTGTGAAGAGATTTTCCATGCTTTCTGTATTCATCCTTTTCCAGTTTTTTTTTATGTGTCATAAGTTAAACTCTGTGACTTTGATATTGATGTATATATTCCTGGCTAAAAAATTATTCATTTATGCTTTCCCAAGCTGGTATGTTTTTTCTTTTCCCCTGGTGCCACAGTATCCCATTCTGTGGGGACCTCAAATTACATAGCTAGGTTACAAATCATTGAAAAGTTGAATGAAGAAAACTTTCCAATGATGGCAGCTTCATCCAACTTTTCAATGTTGGCACAATTTGTCTTCATTGCAGAATAGGATGATGAATAATCATGGGAATAGAAGAGATATTTGTATATTGTACCAGCTTGAGAAAGTGCAGGGAACAAGCAGTTTATCTTTCTAGGACATATGATAATGTTTCTCTTTTTCTGTTATGCTTTTTGAAATATATGTTGGTGAAGTTTTGTTTTTTTTTTTTTTTTCTCCATGAAGGGAAATTGCTTATCATCTTTGGAAGGTGGTGGGAACTTACAGGACCTGAACAACTTAATAATGTTGGACATCCATTCCAATTGCTTTGAGTTCTTGCCTGAGCAAATAGGCTTCTTGAGAAGTCTTCAGGTAAGTCAGGCCCTTCTGCATGCACTCTTCTCTCTGTTTTCTAGGCCTCTCTTTTCAAGCTTCCTTATATCCTTCATCAACACAGTTGTTGTCCACTGCCATCAGTGTGCATGGCAAACTCATATAAATTCAGAAGCCATGTAGAGACTTAAACTATGGATGCCATAATTGGAATCCAGATATTACCACAAAATTAGGAGGGGTTTGGAGGTGCTTTGTGTGCATTCATTCTTCCATGTGTCATCTTCATGTGCTTAACCCACAACAACACTTGTAAGCTGCCACTAGTCCTTCCAATAGAGTATTTTTTCAAGAATGAGTGTTGCATGCTGTGAGCCATCAGTTATCCAGATTCTAATCCTAAAATACTTATATTTTGGTCTTTTTTGCAAAATTGTGCTATGGAACCAGAAGAGAAATAGGTATCAGAGAAGTTTTGGGGTAGGTTAAATCTAGACCTGTCACAATACATCAGTGGTTCAGGGCATCAAACTTTTTTTTTCACCAGGAATTGCAATACATTGACTCACTACAAAGTGAGATGCCAGAATAAAAATTTGCAAATACCTGTGTAAGTTCTGATGAGACCCCACAGAGCCAAGAAAGTGACAAGCAAGGGGCTCTTCTTGCTCCTTGTTTATCATCTAATCTGTGTCTTGGACTCAGATTAGATGACAGAAGCAACTTCAGAGAGGCTAGCCTTTTTTCTTTTTATTCTCCCTATCCACATGCATTAGCTTCTATTCTTTGGCATCTGTCCCCTCCCCCCATCCCCCAATGTTTTTGGGACTCCATACTTGACATCATTTTTTGAGACAACTACTTGTTGGATGTTTTGATAAACTGTCATCATGACTGCCCTTGCGTAATTTCAATTGATTTTTTATTCCAATTAAAAATTTAATTGATCAATAAGGCAATTAGTAAAATGAAATTGGCATCCATACAAATAGTACACAGCAAATTCATGGTTTTATAACAGGTGCCAAGCAGTTTGCTATTTGTCCTCTATATACAGTATATGCAGCAGGTAGACTTTGAAAATATATTGTTGCAAGAGTCAGAGCCATTGATTTTTTTTTTTGGGTTGCCAGCCACTTGTAGTCTCTGCCAAATACCTTTAGTTTCTTCCTAACCTTTTATGACCTGCTCCTTTTTTGTGTTTGATGTGGGAAAAAAATGAATTTGTATTGTTCATTAATTCCAGTACCTGGACATTAGTGAAAACAAGCTCAAAGAACTGCCTCAAGCAATTAGTCAACTGAAATCACTAAAGCAGTTGAAAGCTTCCTCGAACAAGCTGAAGTCATTGCCTGATGGCCTTGGCAGACTGACAAGACTTGAGCTGTTGGATTTGCGAGAAAACCAACTTACCAAAGTGCCTCTGTCTGCATGTGGCCTTTCCTCCTTATCTCAATTTCTACTTGATGGAAACCCTGATCTTACATATCCTCCACCTGCAGTTTTTTCACAAGGAGCTCAAGCTATATTCCAATTCTTGTGTTCAGGTATGAACTGTACCCACCTTATGTTTAGGCAAACATCTACTTCATTTGTTGCATATTCTGAGCTCAATAAGTGTTTTTTTTTTTTTTACCATTTCAGAAAGTAATATGACTTATATTCCCACTGTGGATGCAGAACCTAGTGAAAATCTTCCCACTGGATCCACATCCCAGGAATACCTTCAACTTGAGGTATGTGTTTCTGAAAATGCTGTTTTTTTGTCTGTAGATATAAATATTTATTGAAATGCTGAGAAGCTTGGTGAAGAATAACCATGTTGACCAGTCAGCATCTCATCACTAACATAGACTTTAACATACAGATTGAATGAATTGGTACATTAAGCAGTTATCAGTCATGTTTCAGAGCTAAATTCTGTGACTGTTAGCTCCAGAAGTACTTTGAATAATGAAGAATGCAAATCTTAGCATCCAGAACTGGAGTTTCTTGGTTGCTGGTATAATTATTTATTCCTGTTCCTGTCAGAAAAAATGCCTCTGCCTTCCTCAAGGAAGTTCTTCGTAGCTAGATTAATTTTTTTAGGCCCAGACCTAGGGATAATCCAAGTTAACTTGTGCCTTGATCATAGACTCTGAGAATGATTTGATGCTCTGATGCAGACTATTGGCCAAGGCCATGATAGACCTTGCATTAAACTAAAGTTCTAAAGCTGAAACTTAGACCTTGAACAGTGGGCTATGCCTGTATACACACTCTACAACACTCAGGTGAGAGGTCCTGGTAGTTCGAGCATTAGCTAAAATATTTTCATATCCAATGAGTGCCACAGTCCAGATGTTTGATGGGCTGCATGAATATAACTTTAAAATGGAACTGGCATTTAGGGCTACAGGATAAATGACCACAGTTATGAGCTCTATAAAATTTATTAATTCATTGAATAAAAAAAAGAGCAGTCAATAACAGTCAATTAAAAGGTGGTCAATAGATTGCCCTATCCCTCCATGTCATAAAACAATATTTTATTTTTATTTTTTCATCCAACAAAAGTATAGCAAATGTACCTTGATGCCTTCTTCCATCCATGAATCTCAGATTTCATAATTTTTTGTTTGATCACTGCCATGCCATATATATTATATAGGGTTAGTATCATGTTTCTTGGCATATTAAGATGGCTATGCTGTTTAAACTATACATCATAGAGTTGCAGTATTTGTTGAAAGAATAAATGTGGCCATGGGAAACAGGAATATAGGGTCTTAGGAAGTTGGCCCCAGGTGATGTTGGATTTGCTCAATGTGATCCTCATCCATATTTACAATTTCTCACTCTTGGGAGATGGCATGACAGACAATTGACTGAAGCTGCCCACCATCTGACATGGTCACACGATGGATGGCATATGACCCTCTGACGCAGACTAATGTCTGCATACACGTGCTTCAATAACCACTCACATGAACTAAGGCATAAGCTTCTTCCAAAAAGATGTCTTGACAGAATATAACCCATATTTTCCTGAGAGCATATACCAAGAGTAGATAGCCATGCTTCATCCCCTCATTCCTTTTGTCTCTCTCTCTCTGATTTCACAGAAAAAAACTATCTCATAGGCAAGCAGCACATGTGATGAATAAATTTTTCATTAGTTGAGAGAAGTATTTATTTGGTTAGTTACCTCTATGTGATAAACCTAGTGCAAGCCTTGGGCTGCTAATGTTCAGATTGATTGATCAACTTCAGTCCACTGTACTTCTTCAAGTTGGATATCTTATGCATGAAAGAGTTAGAAAAGGTTACTCTTCTGTCCCAGAAAAATGATCCATAACTATTGACCCATGAAGAAAGACAAGTAATGCCATGCTTATGGAAAATACTTTCTCTGCCCATTTATAGGAGAAAGTGAGAAGATACGAGAGAATGAAGGTAGGATTTTCCATGTTTGATTATGAGGGTCTTTTTTTTTTCATTTTAAAAAAAGATAAAATGGAATGACCCCATGTATTCTACTCTAGGAAGAGAAAAAGAAGGAATTAGCAACAGCTCAAAAACAGCTTGAAGAGCTGCAGATGAGTGAAACCATGGCAGCCCAGCGAATGAAACAGGCCTCCCATCAGGTTGGTCCCATTTATAAGTCCAACATGGTATAAAGTATTATTTTTATATCTCATATTAGTGTAACACTGATTGTACTACAGAACATTGAAGAAGGAAATTGGTTTTTCCTTCTTTGTAGTTGTTGGAAGACATTAAGAATCAAGAAATGGAGATGGAGAAACAGATAAAAAAGCTGCAGCAAGAAAAGGACAAACAGAGAGATGTCCTTATGACAAACATAAAATCATGTATTTTTGTCATATTTCTCAGATGTTCCTTTTCATGCATTTTGCCTACTATTGCAAATTGAATACATGCTAAACTCATTCAGTTTTATTTTTTGTAGTGGATGACCACTCAAAAGATCTCATAGCCAGCCTTTTAGTGGCAGGAAGAAAACAGAAACTGAGGAGGAGTGAGCAAGAATCCATTTTAGACCAGAAGATCCAAGAGGAAGATTTGCGAAAATTGAAGAGACAAAATATTCTAGGTATCTGTGAGATAGTACCGTTCTTTGTTCTCCTTTTTAGATGTGTTCTTTGGTCTTATTCCCTCTGCTTTTCAATGACTTCTGTGTTCAGTGGCTATGCAGGCACAGCTGGAAGAAGCTCTAGAGCAGGAGGCCTTGGTTAGGTGTGCCTTCAACCAGCATGGTGCAATCACTCAATCTATCCTGGAAGGGTGAGTCTTTGTTAAAGGAGGATTGCAATGTATGATAGTCCTCTGGGATGTTGTTTACTGAAATTTTTCATGATCTGTATCCCTATCTCTTCTCCATTATGTTATACCATAAGGCAGTTTGTCTAATTCAGATAAAAAAGCTCAAAATTATTATAAAGCCATCAGATTGAAAGCTTTCAATTTGGAAACTATGGTGAGTCTGTTTTTTGTTTTGTGTACTCTCATCTTGGTAGAAGGGCATGATTTGCAATATAATATTTATAATATATGTTGCTAAACATTGATTCTTTGTACTTGGTTTTAGAATAATGTTGTTAATGCTATCTATCCTTTTAGCATTGGTTCTTCTGAGGAGCAAGTGGCTGATATCCTTGCGGGGAAGACAGAAGAGAGAAAACATCTAGTTCAAGAGTTGCTTAAAGGAGAGGCATTACAGCAACAGATGCTGTTGAAGCTACTTTTATCTCAAGATGAGCAGCGTCAGCATATCACCAAACAGTTGGAGGCAATTTCAAATGAGTTGGCAATGCTGAGCCAAGCAGAACTCCAGCAAAAAGCCATTAGATTGGAAGGATCTCAGGTAAGTATTTATAATTTTGTTGCCATTGAGTTCATGTTGTGAACTGTTGCCTATGATACAGATGATGGGACAGTAAGCATAGAAGTAGAATGATTCCTTGTAGGGTGTTGTGGCATACTGGTATATTCATCATTCTGTGGTATTCAGTTCTCATAGTAATCATACTGATCCCTTCTACATTTATCAGTATTATCGCCATGGTATGACAACTGTATAATACCATCTATGTTCATACTGTCATCATGGTATGGACACCACCTCTCATCATACTGTCGCCACGGTATAGAAACTGTAGGACACAGGTTCTCCATCATGTCGCTGCCTTTGTGCCATACCTGAAGAGCCATTTCTATTGTCAACTATCCTCCCCATCTCCATCCATGGTGATACCCACCAACCAGACCAGCCTTTCTGGAAGTCACTGGAGTGTATTTAATCTGAACTCAAGGACCAATATCCATAATTTGTGGGTTCAACTTACACCTTGACAGCCCTCTGTTCTGTGTGCCTGAACACTCACCATGTGTTCTGAGGATGGGATGTGATGATATTGGAAACACTGTCATCATTGTCAAACCCAAAGTGTTCTCTTGTGTTTGGAGGTATTTTGAAACATAAGAAACAAGCAACCTTGCACAATTATAAAATGGTTTTATTTTCCTGAGCTCCATGATTTGAATCCTCCCAGCAACTTTAGTCACAGTACTAATCCTGGGCATGCCTACAGAATCCATCCATTTGGGTTGAAATGAACGAATCCCCTTGCCATTAAATTGAATGGATTGAATGGCATAAATACAGATGTGTGACTAGCTCAATGCCATCATGATAGAAAGACTCCCTCTCATCTTGGGACTTTTTCTGGAATTTCATAACTGAAGCAGTCCCCCCCCCCCTCGCTCCTCACCAGTGTCACTGATCTACTGCGGTATTGAGCCACAGTATACCTACTGAGGAATTTAGTGCATGCTGCAATGCCCTAATTCCTAGGTTTATGTCTTGGTTGTCCTGTCCTTCAGGTTGCCTTGGAAGAAAGGAGGAAACTGCTCACATCTCTCATGGATAAATTCCTGGCTCGAAAGGCAGAAAGAGAAAAAGAGTTGACAGATGCGCTCAAGGCAATGGAGCAGAGAAAGGAGGATGAGCTTGCTGATTTTTGGCTAGTGCAGTACCAAAGGCTTCTGGACTCCAAGCCAGGAATTCTCTGCAGCTTGGATTGGGTTTTGAAGTCAATCCTGGAGGAGGTTGGTGCTCACCAATATATACCCCAGTTTGCAAGGCATAAGGTTACTGCTGAGAGTTGCATCTCTTTGACAGAGGATGATTTGAAGAGTGTAAGTCTTTCATTGCTTCTATAATGCTTTATTGTAATGAAGTCATTATTACAGCTTTTGATTTTTTTGGCATGTGGAATTATAGATGGGAATCAGAGAGAATGAACTAAGGAAGGCTCTGATGAAAGAGTTCATCATCTTAGCTCAAGAACAAGCATATGCTCTCAAGAAACTTGTAGAGCCAAGTGCTCCTCCTTCAGAAGCATTATGTGAGACATTGCCATCTGCACCTCCAGGAGATACACCTTCTGCACCCCTTGAAAAAGGATTTGTGGTGGACCAGGTGTACACTGTTGCTCACATTGAAACTGAATGTGTGATATGTATGGATGCCATGGTGAGCTTTCTTGTTTTGTATTCTCCATTGGAGTTAACATTTGCTTATCTGCACATCAATAATCAGTTGCTATCTTCAATATTGTCTTCATAATTAGTCCTGCTGGAAATGTCATAGAGCCTTATGACACTTTTTTGGTTGATCCAAATGCCTTTCATCCAGAGTTTCATTTCATATGGATGCATTCTCCATTGCTCTGGACCATCACTTATATCCAGTCAATTCCGGTTTCATGAGGATAAGGACCTATCTGCTCCAGAAATATTTATATTATAGACAAAGAAAGAATGTTTAAAAATATATATTTTAAGAAAAATTTTGAAGATGTCCTCACCAAATAAATTTTCATTGCAAGTGGACTTGCAAAGAAAAGTTGCTTGAAACACTTTTTGATGTGAATGAGGCCATAAGAGGAGTATGAAAACCACAGAGAAAATTTTTTTTTCTTTGAACGACATGCTTCACATAACAAAAAAATTATATCCTATAAATCTTCACTCTCCAACTCCCCCTGGGCACAAAATGAAACAGTCTTCTCTCGTATCTCTCCATTTCCTGTGGTCAGAGTGACAGGGAAAAATTTATTACACAGGGTAGGATAATTCCCATTCTACTTTGATTGGTAACTGTCCCTCATTTTCTGCAGCTGTCTTCTGCTTGCCTCCATTGCATACATCCTTGGCACTTTGCTATTAATAGTTTCTTCCTGTTTCTTTGAACTAGCAAATGAGTACAGGAGTTATAGAGGCTCTAATGATGAAAAGGTGCTATTTCAGAGTAGTGGATGTTGAAGAGGAACAGAACATCCATCTGTCATTGCAGTCTCAACTGTTTTTTTGCACAATGCAGAGAAAAATATTTATGGGTTTCTTTGGCAAGAGCAGTTGATTGGATTTCCATGCACATAAATCAAAAGCCAAGAAGTATTATATGTTAGAGTGTACTGAGGCTCTTTCTTGAAAAAAATAAAAAATGCAAATGACCTCTCAGGTTTTCAAAAATCAGATGAAATCGCCAGTACCCTGAAGTTTGGACCAATGAGAGTAAATGACAGTTGGTGAATGAACCTCAATATAACGAATTTTCCTTTTTACAGGTTTTTTCCCCAGTTCATTTACTTGCATGTTGAAAAGTTTCTTTGTAACAAAGTTTTGTATTTGTTCAGTTTTGCAAAATCATCTTTTGCCTGAAGGAAGAAAGTTATTCCATATTAAATATGAAATTTAAAGCTGCTCCACACATCAGAGGTACCTTCTTTCATGCATTCCTGGAAAATCTCATCTTATATTTAAATGTAGTGGATTCCACCCACTTATAGGTGTGGCTGTGGGGAGTAAGGAAATTCTACTAGTCAGTCTTAATCTTCTCATAATCATAAGAATAGAGGTTAGGCTGTTCTGCTCTGTTGGGCAATCAAAGCATTAGACTATCTTCAGCTGTATTTCAATCAAAGACCATATGTTGAGCCTGAAATCTTTCAAATGTCGAGATCTTTGCAGACCACTGCTCAAGGAATTGTCCTGGAAGGAGCATCGCAGCCAACCATTTGAAGCTTTGTTTTCTATGAATAGACAGTGCTGGTAACTCATCTGATTTTTATTGCACCAATATAACATACTGCAGTGTACACTCATATAGGTGCATGTACATACATACATCTTGGAAACTATATTTTTCCAATAAATGACATTTTGATGTGATATTCATTTAAGTTTAACAAGTATCTTTTTCAGTGAAATTTGAAGAAAACCCTATTACAAATTTCCTTATGAAAAAATTGTTTAGCCTGTCTCTTTGAGTTTGCTATATCGAGCATATATTGTATATCTAATTTGGATGTGGCTTACATTATGAATTTCAACAGGCTCCTCTGATACTGGTTCATTGCAAAATGTTCAGTTCTTGCCAAATGTTTTCAGGAAATGATGAGCCATTTTGCTTCTAGTTGTGCTTCTGTATTTTCCCTGTCTCAGGCTCCTCCCTGTGGCATACTGTACAAATAAGAAAGCCTCTCTTGGTTCATAAATCCTTTTATTTTTCAGTACCAATAATCTGAGTTGGTGATGCAAGCAGTTGGCAAAGACCACAAGACTTTTAGAGGCTGAAGGTCACTCATGAATGTGTTAAAAGATTATTGCTGTCAGGTATACTGCAGTATTCCTTTTCCATTTCTGTTCATAGAGCTCCATGGTGTTTCTACCCTGTGGTCATGTTTGCTGCTGCAACAACTGTTCTGGAACTGTTTCCAACTGTCCTATGTGTCGAAGCCCCATCTGCCACCGCATCCTACTTGTAACATCAGACATAAATCAGCATTGTTGAAGCTGAGTATTGCATTATCTTAATACAATTTATTCTTCAGGTGCTCATGATGAGCTACTTTTTGAAAACTGGTGGTGGTGGTGATGCCACCTGGTCCTTGTAGCCTCCATTTGAATTTGTGATTTACTTTCATTTTATATTTTTATCATGAGATTTCACTCAAATGACTTTTGAGTCAAAATCACTTTTGAACGATATTCTTGAACTGTTTCATTTTTACTTCATTTTTTTCTTGGCACTCATGTTAGAATGTGCAAGCTATGCACATTTGTTCAAGAATTGAAAGATGCCATATTATTATGCTATTGCCTTGCTGTGCCATGTTAGGAAAAATAATCAATCTGGTATTGAGAGGGTAACTTTGAAACACCTGTAGAATTGCAGTGACTGCTCATATTTGAGATCCCACTTGTAATTGTGTATCCTCAAAAAACTGATCAGACATTGAATTTATGGCACTCCAAAGAAATCCACATGTGAGATATGATGGAGTTGTTATTAACACTTAAAAAGTGAGAGTTTTACTTCAAGTTCAGCTTGAAAAACTAATTGAATAGGCTACTTGGAGTATGAACCAAATATCTCCATATGTGCTTTTGCCTTCATCTTAAAAAATGAGTTTTTGAGCATGGACCTCATGGCATTGGCATGATAAATTCAAAAGACTCCTAAGAAGGGATTCTTTCTTTCTTGCCAATTCTAGTCAGGTAAGGATTCTTGAGAGTTATTGATGATATTTTATAAAGCAAATAATGAAAAGTTTTATTTGACAGTCATTTTATTGATCTGAGTCATGAATGATAAAGAGATATTAAAAAAAAAATTGATTTACTGTGATGCTTTTTTAGAGTTCACCCCAGAGTTCAAATTGTTTCTGGTGAAGCCAAAGAATTCAGGAGCTCTTGATTTGAAACCAGGTGCATATGTTCTTTCAGGGTATGACTGACTTTGTGCTTGATGTGTTGCAAAGATATTCTTTCATCCTTACCTGCAAAAAGAAAAGTCTAGTTGTGGTAAATCATTAAGTATGGTGGCATGAGATGAGATCTAACATACTGGGTGCTATGAAACCTTAGCCCCCCCCCCTCTCCCTCTCTGCAGCAGAATATTGTGATGGTGAAGTAAAACAGGTTTTATTTCTTAATTAAGTATTCATTTCTTCATTATTGGGCAAAATCTCACTTTTGCATAAGCCCACCCTCAGCCTTGATGACAGCTTGATGGTGAGATTGGTAGGACTACAGCAAATAGTGTCAGATTTGAAATTTTTAAGAACTGTTGTGGCTTGTTCTAAAAGCAACTATGGGAAAATTTATGGCAAACAGGTTCACTGGTCATCAGATCTTCAACTCCTCATTCCAATATTGAACCTGTGTTTTCATAGGCATTGAATTCAGGATGATTCCACAGGCTGAAAAAACTCCATGTTGAAGTCTGGCCAAGGATGGGCTCACTCAAAACTGAGATTTAGCCTGTGAAGGGTTTAGTTCAGAAATAAAACCTGTTTTGCTTCACCATTGCTTAGTTTGCTTCAAGGGTAGGAGGCTAAGGTTTTGTTGCTCCTTTTATCTAAAGATTAAAAGATTTTAATTATGTTATACTATTTTTAGCATCCTGCATAGATATTGTCATATTGGCCATTATGATCTGTGGTAGACTGTGTGGGTGAAAGCAAACAACTGCTCATGCAATTGAGGGAAACAGTGATTAGGCAATGGCAGGCTATTCTGGAAGATTTGTATCAGAGACTGGTCACTATTGTGAAAGAGTATGGGCTGTTATTCAACCTGAAGGAGATCTGACCCCATATTAATGAAGTGGGACAGGAGCTGTTATGCGTGTGTTGCAGACATGTCCTGTGCATGAGTGGCATTCACCAATGGCAGCAGTGATTGGCAGCAGCAGTCATCTTGATTTGAGCTTCACTGAGTTGTGTACATTTGGTAGTTGCCAAATGGTAGAAATACTTGGTTTTGTGGTCGATGAACTTTGCATGCTTGTCTGTTTTCATATGCAGTGATATGCCAGTATGCCTCATATTATTGAGCTGTATTGTTGTTTTTTTTGGAATAAGCTGCTTCCCTTCCTAATCTGATGATGGAATATTTAGCAAACAGACAGTTTTTCATTCTTTCACGTTGCAAACAAGGCATGGGGCTCTACAAACCAGAGGAGAGATTTCACATTATATGCGTTATACCAGTGAAAAAATTGTGAAAAACAATGAAATTTGAGCTCCCAGGGAAGAACTGCAGGAAAATGGGATTAACAGTCAGTTATTGCGGATCATCGCAGCAAGTCTAAGAGCTAGGCTCACTATATAACCTTTTCCGGTCTACTGTCGGAGGAGCTCCAACATTCGATTTTTCTCTGATGGGTCTCATAATGGGCCTCCCCTGACACGGTTATCTTAATCCTGTCTTGTATCGTATATAGAATTTTGTGAGGCACCCCATTGCGGTAGTATTTAAATCTGACCTGGCTGGGGATGAGATAGTCAGGAAATACAGACGGGAAAAGGTTAAGAGTGTTTTTATCTTCCAGCATACCAATAGTCTTGTACCTTGGGAGGCGACCAAAATAAGCAGATCTCAGAAACAAATTATTGAGATGAGGTTCTTACGTCGGAAGGCTAGTGTGACGCGTCGTGAATGGATACTTAGGGGTGAGACCTGTGAGAACCTTCATTTCGATCGGCTGCATTCCCGGATGGAGAGATCTCAAGTCCGGTGGTTTCGACACGTCCACCGCATGTTCCCTGAGAGACTCCCGAAGATGGTATGACTTTCCAAGGTTACCAGGGAAAGACAACAATATTAGATTTACTGAATACACGGTTTCTCTCTGTGCCCTAAAAGAACAAAACTCTTTCAAAGAATTTCACCCTGCAGGCTGAGCTCTACAAAACATGAAAGAGGATAGGCGTACCCAATATGAAGAAAAAGCACAAATTACCATTAAATAGAAAATTAATCCTTGATTACGATGTTATCTGTGAAAAAAAAAGGGGGGGGGGAAAAACTATGTAAAATAGTATATTTTGGTTGAAGCCAATAGAATTCTGATGCACTTTCATTATCGACAATTCCTACATCCTTTTGAAACCTTCAGTCCCTATGGCCACGTGTGTGGACATATTCTCACTTTCCAATCTATGGGTACAGGACAAGAACATGCTTACCAAGTGTCTGTATTAAAAAAAAAGACGCTACCGTTTTCTAAGGGAGAAACACAGTTTCATAAATCCAGCAAAGAAATTACATTGGATACGCGATCGATATTTGACAGTTACAAGGTGTTGAAATACTTGCCAGATTTTTTTCAGCCCCCTGCCTAAGTCGCGCAATGCCAATTTAGAGGTGAGTTAAAGGTGCTTAGAGGTGAATCATTACACCTCAAGTGAGGTGATTACCTGTGCTCGACCGTCTCAGAATTGAATGAACTTTTCAAGGGACAGTTGGATCCAGTTGATACTTGACAGAGAGATTCTTGAGTCTGTTTTTTTTTATTTCCGCAAAATGGCACTGTTTCTCGATAGAGATACCGTTGTTGACCTTGTTGTTGTTGACCAGGTGATTAAAACAAAGCTCCACCGTTTTAAAATTAGAGAAAGTACGAATTGTGAATTCGAGTAAAATATATAAGTTTCATAAACTCTTGATATTGGACATATTGTTGAGAAGATTGTCTTGGTTTTTTTTTCTGAACAATTCTCTGAGCCATGTATTGTCCCGTTACACAGTTTACTGGTAGATCATTAACCTTTTTTTTTTAGCACCCTCTGCTTCCCGGTCAACAACAGCGCCCTCTATCGAGATACAGCGCCATCTTGCGGAAATGAAAAAACCTATTAGACTCATGAATCTGTCAAGTGTCAGCTGGATCCAACTGTCCCTTGAAAAGTTACAGTTGAAAAGTTCATTCAATTCTGAGACGGCCGAGCACAGGTAATCACCTCACTTGAGGTGGGATGATCCACCTCTAAGCATCTTTAATTCATCTCTAAATCGGCATTGCACGACTTAGGCAGGCAACATTTGTTTCCTGAATGTTTCATGAACCTAGATTGCCTGAATAGAAATTGACAGTCGTTTAAAGCTTAGTCATAACATTTACCTTTTCCGTGCGTGAGGTGGATGGAGTTTCAGACTGCTTGAACGATTTCTCTCCCTTGACGCCAAAAATGTTGCTTTTTGTGCCAATTCTCATCGTATGTTGCGTAGCACAGATTCTGATGCTATGACGTACGACAGTAGTACTATGCTACGACGTGTAGAATGCTACGACGAGGACATGGCGTAAAAAGCCGTCTTCATGGCGTCAAGTAAGAGAAATGATTCAAGCAGTGCTGAAACTCCATCCACCTTATGCGCGGAAATTGTACATTTCTTGAACACTTCATATTGAACACTTCTCGTGAAAGAACTGTTCATACCATTAGAGTTTGAAAGCTGTGGGGTGAATATTCAGAGAAAACTTGCCAAACAGTCCGATTTCAATTGCGACAATGGTATCATTCTAATCGCCCAAAACGGTCACCAAGAAGAAGCCCAGTTTAAAATCCCAGCTGGAAACAGTTATAATTTCCAGCTGGACTCCAGCTGTAAATTCGGACCCATTCCAACTGGGTAACAGCTGAAAAATACTAATCTCCAGATTTGTTCCTAATTGCTATATCATTAGCTAAATGAGAATCTTTTTGTTGACTATTTTTTTCAGAGGTACGTCAACAAGAACAGCTGATTTTCAACTGTAAATCTAGCTACATTCCTGGTGTAGAGTCCTCTTTATAAAATTTAAACTGGAAAGTTTCCAGCTGGAAACAGCTATTAAAACCAACTGCCTTCCAGTTGGAAAATTCCGGCTAAGAAACAACTGGCACCTACTATATTCCAGCTCTTTGCCAGCTGGAAATGGTCCGAATTTACAGATTTGATCCAGCTGGAATATTCCAGTTGGGATTTTAAACTGGGAGGATTTTGTTGAAATGTGATTTTGAAGCTTCTAAAGATACAGGGTGACCCCAAAAAAAGCCACTTCAACTGCAATCGATTTCATGGTATATTAGTAGGAGAATGTTTACCAAATTTCAAGACCGCTCAG